CTCTTTCTAGCATTATGCAATAACATAAGTTAAACGTTAACTTCAAATACATATCAAAGGGATCCTGGTGCGACGAACTTCCCCCTTAGCTCGTGCACGAACGTATTCTAAATGAGTAAAGCACAATTATTTCAAGTTGATTTAATTGTCGAACAATAATATAATGGTAGGTACAATTCAATTATCATACAGTAGACGGTCGGTCACTCGGGCGGCACCAAGACTTCTCTCTGCTCCCCCGAAGTCTTAGGAAAAGGGGCGGTCTCTTCGGATGGGGTGGAAAGCCTCCGGGTATCCTCTAATGGAGAACGGAATATACCAGGGATCGGTCAGAGTTCACCACAAAATGGCGGCGGTCACTTCCGGCTTATCTAAAACAAAATATGGCCGACGGCCCTGACGGTAAATTTCCTAAAGGGAATAAAGCAATAAAGCACAAATCAATTAGCGGTGTCTAGGGGAAAGAAAAGCGGAAAAGCAAGGAGAACAGAATATAATTAAGTTTAGCGGAACGGTGGCATAAGGTTACGGTTGTGCAAAAAAGGGAAACTCAAAACGGTAGTGAAAAGGAAAGGACAACGGTTTGACTTACGGTCGCTAAAAAGGGAAAACTGTAAAACAAAAGGGTTTCGGTGGATTCGGAATGATACGGTTTCGCAAATTAAAGAAATCAAAAGGCGTACTTACAACTCGAAAGTATGAAGCAGAAAGATACCTCCCCAATTGAGCGTTTTCCTTTTAAAGGAAACCAATTTTGGTAGAAGTGGAACAGGGAATTTCCAAAGCCGGGCGGTGCTCGCACCGAGCGCGGTAGAAAATAATTCGGTTTTTAATTAATTGCGGCTTCTGTGGTTAACTTAAAAATCTGGGACAACTTGCAAACAATTAATTACAGCGCCTCTGTGGACACCTCTCTCGACGGTTTCTGACAAGGTTTACTACTGCCCATTAACATGGCATTAATTAACAGCGCTTACCTAATTAAGCGTAATCAAACCTAAGTACTCATCAATCCAATCTGCAACTAGCTCCCTTGGACTTTTTCTTCTCAAACGGCGCTATCGCTTTAACACTCTTATCGCAACATGCAGGCATACGGACGGGATTGCAAAACTTGTAAACAACTCGATCTGAACTCGTTCTATCCTTGATTTTACTTATTATGGGAATCTAAAACATCTTATAAATAATTAACGGCGCTGAAACCAAAGAATATTAATTGTCCCTCATCTTCGCCAGGACAACATCTCTCGGTGGTTACAAAAATATCGCGGTCTTCTTGCGTAACGAAGCCCAAACCAATCGTTACTATACCGGGTGGTCTTTGTAAACGGCAAACTAAATGGAGAAATTCCGGGTGCTTCGTTACACTGGATCCTTCGCGAAAAAATACATTAATTCTGTTTGCCTATGATACTTTCTCCCTGGGACACACGGTATGCATCAAGCATACTTCATATATTACTATGACATGAACATATACCATGAATATTCTTCTAATATGCAAATGACGTAATACTATAAAGTAATATTAAACAAAGAAACAGAATCGTTCAATTACATGAGGGATTTCCGTCAAAAGTTTGGAGTTTGGGGAAATTGAAAAATGTGACGCAACCGTTGATAGCGATGTTTGAGTATGAGTGTGTCCAACTACAGAATTGAATTCAGAGTGTGATCAACGTTCCTCGCCCGGGACAGCTAAATCGTAACTCCAAAGGACATATTGCTGTGGTGTAAGGGCTGATTTATCAAAATAGGCGAATTAAGCTCGAAAAAATTACTTCAAAAAATAATGTGTATAGCATTGGTTCAGCTCATAATATTGTTGTGGTCGTGGACTATTTCGAAATTTCGTAAAGTATGCTCTTACTTACTACTTCAGCTTCTCTGGACACAATAGAGTGACGTGCTAAAAGCCGGGTTCAAACGGTCAGGTAAAGAATGGTGTCGCCGTCGCTGACGTCCGCATTAAAAATAATGTTTGCCGTTTTTTGAGGGAAATAAATGGTGTTATGGTTGATGATTATCTAAGGGGAGTTCAATTAATACCCCTGTTGAAACATGGACCTGAATCTTTTTAGTATGGTGAGTGTGACGTTCGTCGCCAACAAAAATATTGGTTTAGCGCCAAATGATTATGAGCTTTTTGGAGCTTCAAAAAAGGGATTCGGGTTTCTTGCATTTTCCGCATGACGACGGCAAACCAAAAGTACAGACAATACTAATAAACGGTTTATATACAGGGTGAACATTTTGCCTGGAGACACTGGATATATCGAAACAAGATGTTTTTTGCAAAGAATAATTTTTTGCTACCAATTTACGTAGGTACTTACCTTATATTTGTGGCTAGTGGCGTACCTCTGCATGGTGAAGGAGGGCATATTTTTTTAATGGCAACTACTAATTTTCGTTACATATTCTTAAAGAATACACTTAGGTATATTAAATAATCAAATTTAAAATAAAAACTCAAATTAAGAAAAATAGTTCTGATTTATTTCACTAGTTGAAAAAAAACGTTCTTATTTTGTTAGTTACCTATGCCAAAACAATTTATTGTATCATAAATCATTAAACATTTATAAATAAAACCTAATTGCTTAAAAATTATTTACAGTGACATGCGTCTACAAAACTAAGAGGTCCCTGTTTTAATGAAAAGCATAATTTTTCGTGAGGTACTATTAAAGAATGAATCTTTTTTATATGACAACATAAAAAACATGCTCAAATTAGTAAATTTATAAAATTAATTAACACAATTATCTTCCTTATTATTTGAGTTTTTCTCTTAAATGTGATTATATTTATTAATATAAAACAAAAAAATCTCTTTAATTATATGCAATAATGTGTAATGAAAGCTAGTAATTTCCATTAAAAAAAATATTCTCCCCTAGCTAGACCATGCAGAAGTACTACACACCACTGATCACAAGGTACGTAGATTCATAGTAATTTTTTATGATTTTGGATGCCATGAAAAGCTTCTGTTAGAAAAATGTTGTTTTGAAGATATATCCAGTGTTTCAGACAAAATGTTCGCCCTGTATACCTAGTTCTACGAAAGTTGTAGAAGTCTCATACTTGAGTCGGTACGTGTAGACATGCGAACACACAACAGACTTCATATCCGACTTGGCTAGACAAGCCATATCGGTCAATTTGTAGGCGCGTATGTAGCTGGCTTAACGCAATGTTTGAATATTCACATACCTATACACTATGTCGGAGATGATAGAGAGTTACTATATGGGCATTCCAGAAACGGTAAGGGATACAAATTGGGTTAAACAAGAGAAAAGTTGGACAATCAAAGGTCTAAGAAGATAGCGTTTAGAAATTGCTGAAAAAAATTTGGTGTTTGTAATAATTTTAAAAAATCGAATTTTAAGAACTCTTTTTTCTGGCGTTTAATATTTGACCTAGAGCAAAACCAATGACACTTCTCTATAGCAACTTTTAATCTGCATCTGCCAAATAAATTTAATTAAATACTTGTAGGGACTTCTTATCATTTTTAATCCATTCAAAATACACATTTTTTAACTGGTTTTAGAAAAGTGCCTGACATCAAATAAAATAATTAAAAGATTGCTCAGAGATGAAAAAGTATACCTACCTAACACTCTCCAATTAAGTTGGATGTGTTTTTTGAAGTAAACAGAAATAATTATTTTATTACACTCTAAAATTGGAAATAAGAAAAGTTGTCATTTGTAAAGTAAATGGTCGTTAAAAAAGGCTCTATATATAGTAAAATGTCACTTATTTCACTGAAGCGTAAATTGTGTGCGCAATGACACCGTAGGTACTTTGTATCCCTAGAAGGATAGTAATCAATTAAAAAAAGTGGAATATATGGGCGACATATAACACGCAGTTTGTCTCTACGCCCATTGATCCCATTGTGAGTGAATCAATTTCCACTGTTTGAATACTACACAATAGCATTTAGACAATCTATATTTATCAAATCTTTTTTTCAGACCATCCTATCGTATTGAGTGCCAAACAGGTAGACAGCGGGCGTTTGCAGTTGAATGCTAATGATTTTTTTTAAAAATTGGAATAAGAGGACCGCTACTTCGTACTGCAATTTGTTAATCTTGAAAACAAAATCCCGTTGTTGTTTCAACCACTGTGTCTGAGGGTAAGAAAGTGGACGTGATTTCTTCAAAAAAATTAATCGAATGATTTTTTATTACAGATGTTTGTAAACAAATTACTTTAAGAGATGTACCGAGCCAACAAGGTAAATAGGTACTATTGCCTACTATATGCCGTTTTAACGTATTTTTTTTAGAATGCGAATTGGGCTCATTTATCAGAAAAATATAATACAGTGAGTACTTATAATTTCTCCACAACTAATTTTTGTGTCTAGAATAATGTGGCAACTGGCAATCATGGGGAGGATTAGCAAGACCATCCATTACACCAAATACGCGGATGGGAAGAAAACCTTAAAAGCGCTGCACTGTACATATTGGGTAGTATAATTTTGCGAATTTTTTTAGGTTGAATAAATAATAATTCAGACTTGTTGATTATTTTATTAGTAGAGATCGTTTCAAAACTAAAAGATTATGGGCGCAAAAACTAGTTTTCAATCAAATGCAAATTTGCTATCTAATTTCAAAATGGTGCCACATGTTATTTTGTGTTTGAAGTGTTAATAATAACTTCCTCACATCATGGTTAGGGCGGACGTTTTTATTTATAATTTCGCGCAATCGTGAAATTTCGGATTGACCGACGTGCATCTCACCATCTTTTAATCGTGGGACGATCTCTACTCGCATGTCACACCCACTATGCTATATAATGTGCTGATGGAGATATATAAGGCAAATATTGTTACAATGACTATAAAAGCCAGTGTAGTGTGTAGTCATTGAACTGATTGGTTACTTCTGGTGGTTTTGATTTGTTTGGGCCATTATACATATCATTCAAATGCACTCATGTTTTCATTAGATGAATAGGTAATCTATGGAACAGGCTCATTTTCATTGTCACTTTCATCTGCGAATGCGTAAACTGCAATATTGATTATAAAAATGCTACACATCATATTACTTGCTGGAATTATTGTCTTTATGAACGTTTTATTGTTAATCGCGTTTTAATAATGTGAGTTATAATAGCATTCAATAAGTAATTACTTTTTCAATGGTTATAGATATTGGGTGTAGGGTGATTAGAGACCATTTTGCGCATTCCTACAGTAATAAAATTTGGTACTGCGATAAACAATTATATTCAAACATTAGAGCAACACTAAACCTTATGAATATAGGCACCTAAGATATTCTCACTGCTCTGCGCAAGGATATAAGTTCAAATGTTTATGTAGGGTTCGGGAACAAATTCTCTAAACTTTTGTATTATTAACAAGCTCCTAGCGAGTTTATAATTTTGCGGTGTCTGTCCGTTAGCACGATATCTCGATAACGAATTTTGCTGATGGATTCTTTATCAAATTTCTAGATCGGAGTTCGTGAATTGGCGATGTAGGTAACGAAATAAGGAAGACTCTTTTGACATCTCCGTTGGTTATGAACCGAATTGCATGAAATTCAATATACGCATAGCTTTAGCCATATAACATGCAATGCCAAAAGTTGAACCTAATCGATTCGACATTCACAGCGACCTTTTCGCATCTCGGCCATCTATGAATCCAATTGCAAACTTTTTCATTTAAATAAAATTTGATACATAGGCACTTGGAATAAAAGAAAATCTAACTCTAGCTTCAAAATTTGGTTTTACACATGCGCAGTGCCAATTTTCTTATTTACATTTCAATGAAATTTGGTACTTAGCCACTTATACATAACTACTTGGAATAAAAGCAATTATGTATCACCAGTTTGGTTCCTAACACTTTGCAGAACTATTGAATGATATCGTTCAATGGTACTGTAATGAGAGTTGTTGAAAAATTCTGCTCTGCATATATTTCGCAACAAGTGCGGTACGGAGAGCAAATATAGTCATAGTATAAGAATAGGATACAGTATTTCAGTTGTATCAATGTTTATTTAAATGAAAAAACATAACAATATGGTTATGTGTAATAAATGCAATCTGTATAGTCTAAGAGCCCGCGACGCAAACCATTACCATTCAAATAGCAACATAAAACGTATACATGAACAAGTGTTGAAGGTCCCCATACACGAAACGCTCGGTCTGTCGGACCGCATTTAGCCGGAAGGTAAACAAATTTAATTGTTTATTTATATATTTCATAAGAAATCATTACTTTTAAGAAAAGCAGGTCATATGTGGTACCAAATTAAAACTCTTGACGTCAGCTGCACAAATAACTTGGTCTGTCGGCAGGCAAATAGCCGGAAGTCCTTGACAGACCGACATTTAGTCTGCTGCTAGAAGTCGACATTTCAGTTAGTTATAAATTTCTACGATCACTCTGATCCAAGCATTTTAGTTCTGTACCAAAGAGTAAATAACCATAAACCTCTACAGCGGATCTAAAAAAGCGGCCACACTGTATATGATCTAAGACCGCACGCCACAACTGCTGGCATTGAATTTATAACTGCTGATAAAGAGCGCGCTGCCAGAGTGGTGGGGGAAGCTTATTGCCTTTAGTTTATATTGTTACCATTTCAAAATCAGACGGATAACGGCAGATGGCGCTAATGTTGTCTGAAAGCACTGTTAAGTATCTTGTTTTTATCTCGAAAATTCGCCGCGTCCTTCGGAAACTTTCGGAGACTTTCGCTATATTTACAACAAGCACGTACATTTGTAGTCGGGATATAAATAAAGAAAACAAGATTATGCTAGTTGGTGCATGACATCACGCTGACAGAACTTTAACCACAGCTTACTTGATAGTAAGTAAGCTGTGCTTTAACATCGGGATTCTGAATTTGTGTTTTTATGATTTAGGTGAAAAAAATGTATACAACCTAAACGCAAAATATGCCAAAAAATATGAAGAAATCGTTAGACCACCTTTAAAAGTGCTATAAACTATAATTGAGCGCACTATAAACAAGAGGAAGTACAAGCGTTTTTCAAAATATGGTAGATACCTACTTATGCTAAAGTATCTAAAAATTTTGGAGTAGATTACTACATAAAATCTAGCATAAAATATTGATTCATGTAGGTACACAAGTTATAATTAATTGGATGAAAAATGGATTCGATATATTCTTTTCAATAGTAGACTTACACTGGTTTGTAATTACATCCCTACTTCTAAATAGAACCATTTTTAAAGGAAAAAAGCACGAAATAAAAATTGCACGCCAAGAAACAATTTGCTAAGCTATGTGTACCATAAACCTGCGAAATCCTAAAGCACAGTTATTTTTAGAACAAAGGGCTACTGTGTATTGTGTTGGTGTAATTCACAAGCTCCGACCTTGTGTGGGTGTTGATTGTGATGCGATTTCTTTGACTGTCTACTTTTAGTCCAGGAGGCAGCGACATTTTTTATATGCACTCATTTCTATAAAGTTGATATTCTGCGATTTTGATAGTACGAGTAAACACAAAGTCTACCACCCACGCAAGATGCATAAAAAATTATTCAATTGAACTTACTTCTACAAAGATGAAATTTTTGTTTCAAAAAGTTGATGTCATTTCAGACACACAAAAATTTGTCTACCGATCGCTGATTAAAATACTTTAGAAAGAAATGTGGCGTTTGCTTTTTCGGGACGCTCACCATCCCTACTGACAGGGGCACCTCCTCACATATCGTATTTTGGCATAATATGGAACCGACTTGGGACTGGGAAATACCATACTAAATTACTAAGCAAATTGTGGAACATAAGAAGTTTATTTTCATATATCGCGTGCAGTGAGATGTCATATCATATTTAATTGCTCTCATTGCGAACTATTAGATTTCGTTGAGAAATGAATGAAGGATTAAGCAGCAATGCCGACTTCCTACATCATAGCACAGAATAAAATCTGTGATCATAGGTATAGTAAAGCCATTGTGACTCAGTCTCAGTCTTGAATTTTGCGTGTTGTAGCGTTTCTTTAACATTTGAATTTCGAAAGTTGGAATAGTTATTAAGGTATCAAGGGCGTTATGAACTAAATAACGCCCCAGGTCAACAGTGTAGAACCCGAGGGCCTTTGGCCCGAGGGTTATACGTTGACCGTGGGCGTTGTGTTCATAACGCCCGTGGTGCCTTCAACGTTTTATGTCATACTTGATGATTTTCCAAGAATTAGCGGTGCCAGATGATTAAAAGAGAAGATAATGAGAATCATCAAAATTAAGTTATCCATGGTCGTAACCGAGGTCGTAACTATGGAGATAGATATTATATTTGTCAAAGTCAAACATTCTAAAAACTGTCTGAAAAATGACAGACGAAGCGTCTCATTTACCGGCACACGTTCTTGCGCGAGCCGCAAAAGCGAATGAAGCCATAGTGCCACAAAAATCGAAATCCTCTTATGAAAAAGAGTACGCTATTTTTGCAAAATGGATGGTGAGTAATTCTGTGGAGACAATAAACGAAACCGTTATATTGGGTTACTTCCAAGAGTCGGTATGTTTAAGTCTATGGTTTAAGTAATTTTATTAGTCATTAAACGGAGAGGTAATTTACACTCAGAGTCATTTTCTCCCAATTCGCTTTGGACGAAATGGTCAATGCTATACGTAAAGAGTTAATGGTAAAGAAGAAGATTAAGAGTTTCGAAAAATTTGTGCATCTAAAAGGGTATTTAAAACAAGTTCAGGAAAGCTATCGTCCAAAAAAATCAAAAATCCTTACTTGCGAACAGATAGTCGCCTTCCTTACAGAAGCACCTGATCCGCAGTATCTGATCTACAAAGAGGAAAGAAAATGTATGGGTCTGGGCCAAGCTGGTGCGGTGTTCTCTGGACAGTCCCAGAATTGTTCTTTTTTACTTCAAAATAACAGTAGGATAATGCGACATCAACACAGTTCGTTTTATTCAGTTGTTGAAAATAAAAAGTGTGTACAGATTCATTATTCCATATTTATAGGATTTACAGAAATAACGCCCTTGGGCGTTATAGAAATAACGCCCGTTGCTACGCATAATTGGGGTTGTCATGGTGGAGTGCATTATTTGTCATTTAATGTATCTTGATTTAGGATTATTATAACTGAATAATAATCAAGTATGACATAAAATTTTTAACATTCTCCCCTTTAAGAAACTGCTCCGTTCGTCCCTTCCTACTGCTCAATTAACGGTTCTGAAAAAACGAAAACGATGCCGAAATCTTTACATTTACCCTGACCTACAGCGTCGCGCTCGCGGGTTCTTTTTGCCTTATGAACGAACGAGAGCGGTAACTACGGTGGTATGTATTTAAATTCAAATGAGAACCCGCCATGTTTCTCCGCCATCTACAGGCGAACCACTACACTTACGTTTCGCTTTCGATCTAAATATGGTGGGAAACACAACTAGGGTCACTTTATAATGAAGAAGTTTCGTACAAATTTCCTTTAATTGACCATAAAATCACTTGAAACTTATGTGTTATCTTTGTAATGACTCCAAGAAGGCAATGACGAAAATTCATGGAGATTTGATTTCACAAAAAATTAAAATTGCCCATTTTCAAAAATGTAATTAACCTATTTATAGCGAATGTAGATCGATGAAAATTCGTTACCTCCTGCGCTGGTCCTTGCTGATTAATATAAAAAAAAAATTGGGCTGATACCACAAACGGTTTTTAAAAATTGTACGAAAATCTAAAGGCATGTTTTAAGCGTGTTTTCTACACTGATCCCCACCACTCCGGCAGCGCGCTCGAGAACGGGATGTGAATCACACAGAACAAATAATCATATGGAAGTTGAGGACGGTGAATCCATTGAATTTATGGTGAATCGTTTACGTTGGTAGTAGGGTATGCTGGTCTGTGGTGGTACCGATAAAAATGTATCAAGTAGGTATTACCATTGAATTTATTATAAATTCAATGGTATTACATTTATGTAAATTTACAAAAATTACGGTTTTTTAATAAAAAACGTAAGTTACATAAATTACATAAAAAACCGACCTCTTGTAAGTTACGCGTAATATAACCGATTTTTATGTAACTTACAAATCGTTATTTTACAAACCAAATCATTAGAGTAGGTGTAGGTATGTAAGTACACAATAATACTTTGAATTGACGTGATCTCCTGTTCGGTTATTTTTGTTTTGATAACCGTATCAGCATATATGGTATCAGTCAAGGGTCAGCAGTCCCAAGTTCATCAGGTATATCTACTAATGCATTATCATATCAATACATAGAAACCGCCTGATGGCATCAGTAATCATTGACCCTAAAAATCGAACGATTGGTCATCATCTCAGAAATCTGAAATTCTGAATTTTAAAATTTCTGAAATACTCGTAATATGCAAAATTTATTCAGAATGTGCCATCAAAAGCTAAATCGGGTTCAAGTTTGCATTTTATTACCTACCTACTCAATTTGCAGCGTTACACATTTTTTGCTAACCTAAGTACATCACTGAATTTATAAATTCAATGCCTACATTAACTTGAATTGCGTACTTAAAAACCTTCGAATTCGAATGAGACCTGATGCGACCTACAGGCACACCGGAAACATTGAGCAACATTTGTACAAATATTTGCACTGAACGGTTTGACATCGCTAATAGACCTATCTTGTCCTGAGCTGACGTTCCACTTGCCTTTTATGAGTACCTACCCTCTTCCGACACTTCGTTGTCAAGGTATTTGCTTCGACTTCGCCAGCCGATTCATTTTGCTTTTGAGAGTAGTTTCCTCTGACAAACGGTCATATTCGCTCTTAAAGTTTTGATATCACCAATGGATATATTTCTTTCAGACGTATACCACGGTACAACGCCGATCTTTCAGGCTGTGCGTTGTACGGTGTGCCATTACGCATTCGGGCATGGTGCACAAATCTTTGCCCGCTCTAATGCTCAGCCCTGTACAGATGCTTTTATTTCATAGCCACCTTATATAAATATAAATTGTGCTTTATTGTTACGGTATGGTCTCGTTTAGTAACTATGCAAGTATTTTTCAGAATGTGAAGCTTTTTCAAAATAGCTAATCAAACTGCAGGTACGTATTTAAAAAATAAAGTTGATAATGGCCCTAAAAAACGAAACTCTAAATTTTAAATGTTGCCAGCTTGTAGAGGAGAAAAAGTTTTAATGACGAAATTGGTCATTGGTTTTTAAAAGTACCTTTGAATAAAGTCGCAAAAATTTTTTTAAAATCCGAAAGTATTGGGAATTCCTCCACTTTCTATATTCGGACCCAAAATACGCAACTTTGCCTCCATTTAATCGACTTCGATTTGGGACACCCTGTACATATGTTAGCACTACTTACACTATTTATTTTATTTACATACTCTTACATACAAATTTTTTCATTTTCAATCACATAGCGATAGCAAACTTACTTTATGGTCCATACATTTTCACTTAATAGATAATAATGTGAAATGTATGTATAGTCACTTGTTCCATATATTTAATTTCTGCATACCTTAAAGTCACTAAATATAGAAAGTACCGCAATCCATTGGGCTCGTGTGTTAGAGAGAGAACGCATGATTTTTGCCCAAAAATGGCAGAAGTTACCAGATTCTAGTAACTTTAATGTTAGGGATTGTTCCACCTGTTTGGAGATATCTGTATATATTTTTATAAAACATGACAGTACTATGAAGTTAGGTTATAAAAAATGACAGCTAGTCAGATTTTAATTGTCAATTTTTTTAAGTTGGCAGCAAATTTGCCCAAAAATGGCGGATGATTGCGGTACTTTCTATATCTAGTGACTTTAACTTTACCTAAAGTCACTAGATATAGATATCCGCCATTTTTGGGCAAATTTGCTGCCAATTTAAAAAAATTGACAAATAAAATCTGAATAGCTGTCATTTTTCATAACCTAACTTCATAGTACTGTCATGTTTTATAAAAATATATACAGATATCTCCCAACAGGTGGAACAATACCTAACATTAAAGTTACTAGAATCTGGTAACTTCCGCCATTTTTGGGCAAAAATCATGCGTTCTCTCTCTAACACACAAGCCCAATGGATTGCGGTACTTTCTATATTTAGTGACTTTAGCATACCTAATAGGCGAGCGCCATCTCGTACCGTATCTCCAATCTGCCTTGAGTGAGACACTTATATTCTGACAAAGCAAAGAGTATATCATTTATCTTTGAACAAAGATAATTATTATCTTGGATTATATGGCCCAGTTGTAACGTACGCCTCGATTTTAATCCCTCTTCGCTCTCGCACTTAGCAACCAGTAGAGTGCGTAAGAATCTGTTCGTCTGTCTGCGGCTGATTTGATTTAAAAAATCGCACTCAGTTTTTGAAATATTCTAATTTAATTATTAGGCTTATATTTTGTAACGTCACAATTTCAAGGTTAGAAATAATTTTTAATCAGTCTTAATCAAGGTAGGCATCGCATAAATTAGATATTTAATTATATGTACATAATCTGTTTACTATTCATTGTCTTGCAAATACGGGGTACACACGTGCTCATACGCAGGTACCTTTCAAAATAAAGTGAACTTTGATTCTCTATTGAGACTGCCGTTTTGCGTACAGGCTTTTAATTAAGGTTATCTACTATAATCGTATTGATCATTCTCTCGACTGATTGTTATTTTGCTAGTTGTTAAATGCATAATAAACAAGGTACATTAAATGTCGTTATTCTTGAAGTTTATTGTCCATGAAGGCTATTTTCACCAAAACCCTTAGAAACTGAAGATGTATCCCAACTCAACATTACTCTACGGCCGGACGTGAAGTGGCGGTATTCCTTTCGTGGTGATTAAATAATATTATCGATACATTCACTATATAATCAGCAGTTCGTATATTCATTCATTTGAAAGTTTATTTGTACTGACACATTTACTTTTGATTTGTTAAGCATCTGTTTTCGCGATTTAGAACTCTACTCGAATGACATGTTGGGAGTGAATAATGTGCGAGTAAAAAATAGTGTTGTTTTTAATTACTAGACGCCATAAAATCTCCAACTGATGTGCATTTAATATATTAGGTACCTACTTTAGATGTACAGCAAAAGTTTTTCAATTTAGTAGAGGAGAAAGTGTAATCGTGTTCGGACGGACGCGTGCTTATTTTCGAATATTTGTTTACAATATTAATTATGTCAAGTAGTCATCCATCTTTGGATAGTATCTTATGCGATTTAGGTCAGTTGGGTAAATACCAGTGTTTTACCGTTACGTTATTTTCAATTGCTGTGATTATTCATTCCGCTATTCACACTGCTTTCGTTTTTACCGCAAGGAACGTCCAATACAGGTAAATAATCTATTTTTAAAATGTATTTTAACATCGCATTCCTAGTTTTACGATAAATGTCAACCGGGTGAATTCGTGTCGGTGATAGTATCATTGACCTTCTGAAAGTAGATATTTATAACGCCTTGTAGGTAGGTTTTTTTGGATCTTATCTGTTGCTAGTTGCTACTGACCTTAGTACCTTTTTTGTAGCACAGTGGCGGCGGCAGTTTAAAAGGTATGAAATTACCGGTCATACTGGCCCTTAGTACCTACATAGACTGCTTTCTCAATTATTTTGTGAAAAAATAAATAGATTTGTTACGCGCTAGAAAATTACACTTTCACGAGAATGTTCAAACCATAATCGCCATAATAAACTAAACCGATCATTAATCAAAGGGAAATTAATTAATGGTAAATACTATCGACCCGAATTTTGTATTGAAACACACTGTTAGTGTCTAATGTAAGGTACTCTTAAGAATCAATACTGACGTGACGTGTCGCATCAATAGCCTCGACTGGTCAGTGGCCATCTCATCTCATGCATTTAGGGTCATGCAAATAAACACCACTATTTTAACGTATTTCCACAAAAAAATGCGCCATTGTGGCTACTTTGTCTCATTGGGCTCGCTATATTTAATTTTAGATATTTAGATCTTTATCATTGTTTTACTTTTTAGCGCATTTCTATAAAAATAAAAAAATGCGCTATGTAGCCACTTTGTCCGTCCGCTCGTTCGTTAAATCGCTACTAGTTCTTTATCTTAAGAGCTATTGTTCTACTTTTTTCGCTATTTGGTTCGTTATGGTGTCGAGTCTTGTACCAAGGAAGGAATTTTTTCTGCGGTTATTGCTAAAAAGGTTATTGTAAAAAAAACAAAAAACCGTTTTTTTACATGTTCCATAATTTGACACTTTTGCCGTTTATTAGCGATCCTAGAGATCGTTTATAATCTTGTATTGCTGTCTGCCTGTTGGTCATGGTCTGTCCGTCTGTTCCTTTGTCTGCCTGTCCCTCTATCTGTCCGTGTGGACGATAACTTCGTTTAAAAATGTCCGATCGCTTTGACATCTCCGTTAGTTATGAACTGAATTGCATGAAATTCAATACCATAGCTTTAGCCATATAATACGCAATGCCAAAAGTGCCCTTTTCGCATCTCGACCATTTATATACCGAATTGCAAACTTTTTTATTTATAAAAGTATTTGAATGAAATTTGATACATAGGCGCTTGGAACAAAGGAAAATCTAACGTTAGTTTCAAAATTTAGATTTGCGCATGCGCAGTTCCAACTTTCTTATGTAGAAAAGCATTGAGATGAAATTCTTCTTATAAACAGAAATTGAAGTAGCACGTCAAAAATGGATTGCACATGCGCAACGCTATCTTTCATATTTGTGGCCGGATTTTTACGATTTCAACAGATTTCAACAAATCTTACAAATGGGAAATGAATGCAAGTGGAAATGCGCTTTCTGTAAATCGTTTACGATTACTTTTTAACTTGTTAATCATATAGGGGATTTGTAATGTGTTACTTTTACGTATATACTCTCTGCTACTGAAACCATAATTTAACAAATTCTCGTTAAGGCATGCTAGTATTCAGTGCAATGATCGAAGGAGTAGGCAATTTTGTGGTATGGTTACTAAAGAAGTTATTCAATTACTTGTACATTACAATATTACAATGACAATCCACATTTATATTGCATTACATTTTTAGCGCATTTCCACAAATATTTAAAAAAATGCGCTATTGTGGCCACTTTGTCCGTCCGTCAGTCCGCCCGTCCGTCCGCTCGTTCGTTGAGATGCTACTAGTTCTCTATCTATTGTTCTACTTTTTTTGCTATTTGGTTCGTTATGGTGTCCAGGCTTGCACCAAGGAAGGAATTTTTTCTGTACCGCTTACAAAAAAAGTTATTGTAAAAAAACCAAAAAACCATTTTTTACATGTTCCATAATTTTACACTTTTGCCGTTTATTAACGATCCTAGGATCGTTTATAATTTTGTATTGCTGTGTGTCGTGTGTCTGCTGGTCTGTCCGTCTGTTCCTTTGTCTGTCTGTTCATCTATCTGTCCGTATGAACGATAACTTCGTTTAAAAATGTCGGATCGCTTTGACATCTCCGTTAGTTATGAACTGAATTGCATGAAATTCAATATGGGCATAGCTTTAGCCATACAATACGCAATGCCTAAAGTTGAGTTGAATCAATTTAAATTCACAGTGCCCTTTTCGCATCACGACCATTGATAAACCGAATTGCAAACTTTTTTATTTATAAAATTATTTAAATGAAATTTGATAGATAGGCACTTGGAATAAAGGAAAATCAAACGCCAGTTTCAAAATTTAGGTTTGCGCATGCGCAATGCCAACTTTCTTATTTATGAAAGCATTGAAATGAAATTCTTCTTACAAATTGAAATTGAAGTAGTACGTCAAAAATGAATGGCACCTATGTAACGCTATGTTTCATATTTGTGGCCGGATATTTACAGAAGTTGCATCTTAAAAAAAATGCAAATCGTTCACGATTACTTTTTTAACTTATTTTTGTATTTCAGGTGTGAGGTACCCGGCTGTGAATCATCACCCTCTGAAACGTGGCTGCAAAATGCAATTCCGTTTGTACATGATCAACCGTCGAAATGTACACGATTTTTATACCTGAATGGCAGCGAATGCAATTATCTGGACTTCAATAGAAGTATCGTGGAAAGATGTAATGATTATGTTTACGTAAACGGGGAAGCCACAATATTGCATGATGTAAGTACGCAATAATTATTTTATTATACTATTGAAGCAAAATGCTTAATCTAAAATAATTGAACAATGCAAAGTTTATAGCTAATTTACCTTAAATATAGGGACAAAGTTCTTTATTTCACCAATTAAATTTAAATGTTTAGATTTATTTTTATCTTACATAACGAGTAAGATATTAATGATCTTGCTTGTTGATATAAATTTTTCTAGATTGCCGTTGTGTTAGGTGTAAGTGCAATGTACTCGTATCTTGATTACAATGCCCCACTCGACCCCACATTGATAAACGATAATGCCGAGGATAATGCATATACCTAGGTACAATATTTTGGCACAATTCTGAAACTTACCGTTCATACTGTGATGTGCATTTGTTTGTAAACAAAGCTATCGAGTCACCTTTGGAATTTTTGTTTAAATGGGAAAACGTACTTAAATTAAATTCCAAATGCGACTCGACCGCTACTCATTTTTGATCGCCCGGTACTTGTAAAATTAGTCTGTTGGGTATTCTTGTAGTGCAAACCTACTAGAGAGCCGATTAAGTGAAATCTTACAGATTCTGATCGTTTATCCATTTTATTGGACAATTTATTGTGTAACCTGATAACATTTGTTTTATACCAGTGAACTCTTTCAGTTTGTTTGGCTTTATGTAGAGTAGACTTTTAGACGCTTCCCCAGATTTGGATGGACTTGCTTGATTATTAATTCTATAAGTATTGGTTAGATGAGCTGTAGCCAAATATTTTTGTGTGCAAATAATACAAAGGGCTTATTTTATTGGTCCGTCATGTACCTACTTTTGTCACGTTACTTTTATCGAGCTGTTTTTAATGATTTGATTATAATGCATAAAATCGGCTCTAGAAAAAACACAAATTAAATTTTGAAAATAAAATTACCATTTGGTGCTACCTAATAATGGTTTAATTGGCAACTTACTAAAACTTGATACGATTTAATTGAGGAGCGTTTTTATGAAGCCCTAAATTTAGTTATATTGTGAGTTCGCGACAAACCCAAAAATAAACGGGCACTTTGTAATGTTCGCGCTCAGAAATTGGCATTGAAATATCTTATTACAGGTAAACGTCTTCAACGGTAACTTTTTTTAGGCAGCTCGCAACTGTTGCGTCCCGTCCGTGTTGGCCTTTAGCACTAGGACCTTGCAGAAAGCTGACATTTGTTATTTAACACGCATGGAGGGCAAAATAATAGAATTTTGTAAAAATAAAGCGTTACATAATATGCGATGTAAAATACAAAAAATGTTTAGTAATTAATGTGTAAGCCATATTTAAATTGCTGTTCAACGCATTGAAGATTATTACAAAAAAATACTCGTCCGTATTATCATATTATGTTATTATGTGTTAGGTATTGTGAAAACTGAGGAAAACAAACGGTCATTATTAAATTTATGCTACGTATTATAGGAAAATAGACCATATCTTTTGTTCACATTAGGTAGGTCGGTATACAGTAAGTCTCACAAGGGGCACAATTGATTTTGAACAAATTCAACATGAATCCTCTACAGTTACACCTAAGGCTTAATTAAACAAGTAAAAAGGTTTTCGCCCTAAGACGAGTAACTTCAGCGCATTTTACATAAATTGATCAATACTTCCCCAAAGGCCATACCTATGTGTGCTATTTTTTGGGATACATTGCCAATTCACGAACTCCGATCTACAAATTTGATAAATAATCCATCTACTAAATTTGATCGTAATCGATCCATTCGTTATCGAGATATCGTGCTAACGGACGGACAGGACAGACACCGCCAATCGAGGGGTAAATCGCTAGGCAAAATCGTGTACACCAAACTTCATACTTCACGTATTTCACCAATACTTCATGGACTTCATCAATACTTCACCGAACTTCACGGACTTCACCGACACTTCATGTATTCCACCAAAAACTTCACGGACTTCACTGATACTTTATGAATTTCACTGATATTTTGCAATGGACAAAATCCCATCCTTTTTTCTAGAGTTCTTGTAAAGCACTCAAAGCAGTAAAAGATGTAGAATGTATTGATATAAATGATAATAGAGGCATAACAAAAACGAAACGGTAATATAAAGTAAAATAAAAACATACTTTGTTTATACATAGAGGTAAGTACATAGACGAAATTGAAATGAATCAATTTTTTTTAAGAAATTTTTAAAAAAATTGCTTTTGTTTGAGTTTTGCCCGTCCGTCGGACCCACTTCTGCGGTTTTGAACTACTTTTAGGGGAATGGTCCTAGAGTCCTGGAATTTTTTGCAATATGTAGCCTATACCTTGAAGGTGTGCCACACGGCAATCAAATTTCGCTGTCTTAAGGGAGGTGGCCTCCATCAATTATTTCCTGAGATGCTGTTTTTGAAAGTAAAAGTAAAACGTGCATTACTTTTACATACGGCAATCAATTGGCGCATGGCTTTAGTGGTGCAGTAAAAATTTTGAAAATGGGGAGGGGGGACGGGGGTAAACACCCGTTCCACCTTTCATGGTCTCATCGAAATAAATTGGTTTGCACAAACTATAACGTTACCGCGCGACTCTTTTTCAAGTTCAGTTCATGGCGCGGGGGGGGGGCGTATTTTATCTTTCATGATATTCTAATTAAAGGTCTCAACGAAAGGATATATTCCCTTATATCTCCACAACAGATTGTTGGAAGAGGGTACTCACAAAGGGCGATTGGGACATCTTAAAGAAATATATCCATTGAGCGATTATCTCGAAAACGGTTAATCGGAGGAAAGTACTTTCAAAGGCAAAATCAATCGGGGGTGTCGGAGGATTTTCAATGTCCTCCCATCAATCATCTACTAAGAAAGTAAATATCGATAACATGCTACTACCTTCTAACCCAACCATTTGCTAAGCTATTTCGGTTTAAAAAATGGCCCTTTATCTTTATCTGCACAGGAGTTGTTATTTTACAAGCTTTTCTTATCAAATTTCTGTTATACCTATGCAGTTATACTAAATGGTTCACTTCCTATTAATGTAATGGGTCATGTTAAAATATATCTCTTATTAACAGATATCTGGCTCTTTCACTTCCTATTAATGTAATGGGTCATGTTAAAATATATCTCTTATTAACAGATATCTGGCTCTTTATACCATATAAAGCTGTTCAATTCTTCTTTGGGATTGACATTGTAGTCGTAAATAACTCAATGGCGTGGCCAGAAACTTGATTTGGAAGGGGCTGATGTACTAAGTTGTGGAGGGTGCTGAAATTTAAGGAAAACAAAAGCCGCTATCCACATGAGAAATTTTCCGTCTGTCGATTTTATTTTATATAGGTACCTAATAAGTGTTATTTAGCTACCTGAACCTGATGATAATAAAGGAAAGGATTTATTAAATTTTTAAAAGGAAACAATTTACGATCTTTGTACCTACACATAACTACGACGCAAGGACTATCAGTACGTCTATGAGTCGCTGTCTCATCAGGGCGTCTGTCGCCTGTGTAACTGTCCTTTTGTTTTGTAGAAATGGGCATAGTTAGTCATTCATAAATAAATGCCATACTTTTGCGGATAAAAAACTTACCTTTCAGCATAGATTTTTTAATCTATGCTTTCAGTTTTATTTCGCAGAAATTTATTTAATATTACCTCGAATTTTACTTAGTGGTGACGACCGTGAATTGAACTACCGTACGATTTTTGTTAACGGATATGATTATAAACTTCGCCACAACCTCATGCATTTTTCCAATAGTTCGCTTAAACTTCACTAATTTCATGGACTTCATCAGTACTTTATGGACTTCATTAATACTTAACGGACTTCATCAGTACTTCACGAACTTCACCAATATTTCATGGACTTCACAAAAACTTCATATGAACTTCACGGACTTCACACTTGTACACCATACTTCACCAGTGGTTCACCCCTCGCCGCCAATTATAAACTCGCTAGGAGCTCGTTAATAAGTAATATGATCTATTGTGCTACTGTGTGTTTACACTTGTCGTGCATAATTCATAACTAACACAAAACACTTAAGTTTACATTCAAAAACGTATAAAAAGCTTTCGACAATAAATAAGTCTTAACCATGAAAGGATTCCTTTTGTTTGACGTCGTCAGGTTTTAGTCCCGTTAACTGGTTCATATGACCACAGTCAACCACAAAAATATTGGTTAAGAATAGGCAGTGCCGTTGTGTAACTCGACTCAGTTTGCTTGTCACCCGCTTCCTACTATTTCATTAAAAAAAAACAACATTGTTGTACCTCTACACTTAAACCGCAGATTCTACGCTTAATTCACACTAGAGCAACACGGAAATAAAATCAACACGGCAACGTTTATGGACACTAGAATGCCTACTTCTCTCTAGAACTAACCAGATCTCATTTAAATTCTAAATCACAAAGTGGTAGGTGATCAAAATGTCGAAAGCCGGACCTAATTAGGGTAGTTGTCAACAACACAGTGACTTGTAGTTGGAGTATATAGTTATAGGGACGGAACACAAAATAAAACACGTTAACGGTGTAACAGAACAATTTGTATATTGGTTGTCTTCAAGTTCAGAAGTCATTAATCTCAAATAATGAATAGGTAGATGATTTGTAGCATCAATCGATTGATAATCAGGATAAATCACATCCACAGAACATGATGTTGCCAGGCCCACCCTTGGGACAGGCCACTTGACCCTCGTGCAGGAAATACAAGCGTAAAGTTGAGAGTTGAGATCAATTTTACAGTTTTAAATGCATCTATTTTAGTTACAGTATTCCGATTCATGGGAGTGTCTCTTTATGGATTTAGTTTCCATAAAGGGAATTCATACAATAACTCAGGTGACGCTCTGCTCATGCGCCGCTCAAAATATTGTAACATGCTATTTCAATAGGAATATTCACATTTGACGGTCAGAACATGTTCATAGTAATACACGCTACAATAATTGACCGGACCGTGAACTGACCGATAATGTGAATTGGCCTTAAAAAACGAATTTATTTATCTTATTACGATATAATAACTTGATGAGATATTTTTTTTTGGAAATAAGTTTGACACAAACGTTGTATAATTCCCAGGGGGTTAACCGGTGGTGACCTTGACCTCGACCTTCCACGTCATTCCAAGGTGATTTTATTCAATGGTTACATTCATAAAAAATACAACTTTAGAAAAGTTCTTCTAATTGTAGAAAAACGACTTTCATGAAGTAGCGTGGGTATTGCGAGCAGCTGCTTTAACAAAAACGTAAAGTGGAGTGTTGCGAGGGTTAGCGTGAGAGTAGAGGTGTGTAACGGGAGCCCGTTAATGGATTTTATTTGATTTGAATTGTACTTCAATTTTTAGCGCATTTTTTTAAAATTAAAAAAATGTGTTTTGTCCGTCCGAACCCACTTCTGCCGTTTCGAACGACTTCTAGGGGAGTGGTCCTAGAGTTCTGGAATTTGTTGCAGTAAGGTGTGCCCCAACTACTGCCCTTCTTTCTGCCCTCTTATCAAAGTACGGGGCAGAGGGGAAGGGGAGTGGAACTAATTAGCCTTCATAGTACTCTAATGAAAGGTCTCAACGAAAGGAATTAATTTCTACCACCCATAGCCCTTCTCCTCGAACTCGTATCGTGATCGGGTATATTCCCTTGATTCCTTTATACCTCAAGAACGGATTGTCGGAAGAAGGTACTCACAAAGGGCGATTGAGACGTCTGCAAAAAATATATCCATTGGTGATGTCAAAACAAAAGCTATTTCGGCTAAAAAAAATGCGCTTTATCTGCAAAGAGTTGTGCACCATTTATACCTACTTGTTTACAATCTATGGCAATAAATGATATTATTATTATTATTCGAAATTGCCAAAACAGGTAAGTTTCGACATCGATCGTCGACATTAGTACCTAATATAATTTGGCACGTGTAATGTAACTTTAACTTTGCATTAAATTAATTTATTTCCATTGGAATTAGTATACTGCATGTATGTGTTTTCGCATATTTTCACGGATTGTGAGTACATCTAGGACTTAACTGATTTTTGTTACCTCAGATCGTGTATTAATGTTATTATTTTGTGATGTAGAAATGTAGAATGCAATAATAATTAGGTTTCTATTTGAGAAAATGAAGCTGCCCGATCAACCCTTAACCTAAGGGACATACGCCCCGTCGTATGAAGAACATCCCGCTAATTTCGATAATAATTAAATAACGTCAAAGGAAGTGCTAAATGAATTATGAGAAAATAAAACCCTTGGAATTCACACGTGCACAAATAAGATAATATTGTTGATAGGACGTATCATTGTTGCTGATAAATATTAACCAACCTTTGTACTGACTCTCTCAGTCATTATCAAGATGCACGAAATAGGTATCTTTTCGTTTTTGTGATATTGTGTATCCCACTTCCACTAATATAACTCCTCCTCAATTTGAAGTTAGTAAAAAGGGAGCCGACTGCTCTGTATAAACTTATATGCCTTAAGCCTAGTAGACAAAATAGATTCACGCTCAGTCGTTCTTATCGGAAAAAAAGCATTTTGCGCTGTAGCAAAAAGGCGCAATAGCAACACGATTTCGACATGGTACAAGCAGCCGACATGAAGCTGTCCCATCAAAGCAACGCGTTTTCTACATTACCGTGAAAAATGTCATCAAGTGAAAACGACGATGTGACTGCGATGCACCTGGTGCTTACGAAATAGAAAACATTCTAGAAAGTCTATGAAAAGAAAATGGAAAATGCTTTTATTGCAAGAAACCAAAAAAATAAAATATTCGTTGCTGCTAAGGAGCTCGATAGGCACCCAGTGCATATCTACAAGTTTTTCATGAAATTGCTGTTCATTTTTATGTTGCGCCATGATATTAATTTTCCTTCTCATTAAAAACGCAGCTTAGATGTTTCTTTGCTGTAGCGTTGGTGGGTATACGGGGTATATAAACCATCAGTTAAACACAAAAGATACATCGTCGCTACATCGCGTCGCTTTGGTGGGACCAGGCCCTTAGTTCAAGCAAAACAAAAATAAAGTTTCCCACAAATATTGCTGTGGGCACTGGTCCGTAGGCTAGAATGGCTGTACCCAAAGCACCTTAACAAAAACCTAGCTAGCTATTTACTTTACTTATTATCCCAGCACAAAACTCCTCCCCAATACATAGGAGAGATTCGACTCTACTCTCAGTTAACCTGTTAACTTCTAACAGATAGTGGATTAGACCAAATACCTTAAACTCCAAACCGAACTGCAAAATTTTGAATAATTAAAATGGACCTTGGGCAAGCATGAGCATCCAACAAAAACATAGTTGAATTAGAAATGAATCGTTAGAATAAAACACACGGAAATTAAGGGAAAATTAGAAAAGTGTGATTTAATTCTAACACCCACACACAAAAATGATACAACAAACCAAACAATTGTTAAAAATAGACTAAAATTAAAACTTAATTACTTACATTACATGTTCCGGAATTGTAATCCAAATAAACGGTATCCATACACAAAATACAAAAACAATTTTCAATTAAACAATTAGACTTTAACGACCGGGTAATCGCAGCAAACATATCTGCTTGCAGCACTTTATTAGATGGCCAAAACTCCAAAACCAAAAAATACATAAAATAATTGACGGTATCCAGTGGAAAACACAATGCCGAAAAATAGAACAAAATCCCTCCTTTATAATTAACGGAAAGAAAGGTGCCAAACGTTTACCTTTAAAATTAAACGGTGCGGTAAATTGCCAACGTTGACGTTCTACGTTCAAAAATACGAAAAAAAAGACCCCTATGTTATTTAATAGCGCTTCCAACAATACCAAACACTACGCATTTTGGTAAAGTTTACTGCAACACAATTAATTAACTAGGTACGGTTAATTATAGGTACCTACTCACTTAAATGGCCGAGTTGAAACTCCGAAATTCGGTAGTTCAGTTAACACCGATCGCGTCCCGGAAAAGTGCTTTCAGATGCTGCAAAGATAATTTAAATATCTCTACCCGGCTACAATCTGCAAAATTACTGATTTCCTTATCGTTGGCTAAAACGGCGCTACAAATTAAAGTCATAACTTTTACCTTCTATTTCTCACTCCTAACAAAAATCCATAGGTCTGGAACTACCTACAATTTCTCGTAACGAAGCACCCGTTTGAGTTCGCCAAAATACCGGGTGTTCATTAAGGCTGGTAGCTTTCATCATTCAACAAAATCTATGATATATATATATATATATAATATAGATAAAGATATGGTAGATAAAGTCAGTATTGTAAGATTTCACTTAACTTTCATTTGTTTACAAAGGCAACATTTATACGTACCACAGTGTAAAACACACTTGGTTTGTTGTAGAGTACTTGTGTATTAACTCGTTCTCCACTTTCCTCTAGTTTGATCTTCAGTGTGACGAGAATTTGTGGAAACTAACTTTAGTGGGCACCGTCAACAGTATTGGACAATTTGTTGGACTACCCATAGCAGGATTTTTCTCAGACAGGTAAACATATAACACTGTATAACACCATTAAATAAATAACATTATTCACATCTTGATTTTAGATATGGACGTCTTACCACATTAATTGTTGCCATAGTATCTTCGGGTATTTTTGGTATAATTCGTTCATTTTCGCCTTCGTATATTTTCTTTTGTGTCTTTGAATTTCTGGATTCGGCATTTGGAGCTGGAGCATATACGTGTGGTTACATACTAGGTAAGTGTTAATAGTAACAATAAAATGCAAATTTTCAAAAAAAATTGAAGGAGTGGAACTTGTCGGGCCACAAAGAAGAGTCTTAATGGGTACTCTTATTTCGTGTTCGTATGCATTAGGAGAAGTATTACTAGGCGGTCTAGCGTGGGGCATACCGCAGTGGAGGTAAATACAATTTTTGTCCTTCTAAATGCATTAATATATTTTAGACCATTTCTTCAAGTATTATGTTCTTCTTCGTTTATTCTGCTGTTTTATTATTGGATAGCTCCAGAATCAGTGAGATGGTTACTAGTACAACAAAAATTTAATAAAGCGAAACAAATATTAAGCAAAGTTGCTAAGGTAAATGGAAAGTCTATTTCAAATGAATACCTTACCGAGTTATGTACAGCTGATCACTCATCAAACACTGAAACGTATCCTATCACAAGTTTATTTAAATCTTGGCGATTATGTCTAAGATTTTTAAATTGTTGCTTTTGTTGGATCTCATGTGTTTTTGTTTTTTATGGACTAACTATAAACTCAGTGGCCTTATCAAGTAACCCATACTTAGACTTTATCTTAACCTCGCTAGCAGAAATACCTGGCTACCTAGCAGTGTACCTTCTAGTCGACAAATTGGGAAGACGAATTTGTGAATCGTCTATGTTAATTATGACAAGTCTTGCCTGCATTGCATTTAATTTTGTGCCATTGGGTAAGTAGTTCCGTATGCTGTATCACCGATTGTAATCAACATTTTACTTTGCAGATTTGCATTGGTTAAGATTATTGATGTTTCTAATAGGAAAATGCGCAGGAACTGCTGCATTCGCAGTGTGTTACATAATTACTAGTGAAATATTCCCAACTCCTTTAAGGCATTCATTAATGGCAACTTGCTCTATGTTTGGTCGTGTGGGATCTATGATTGCACCTCAAATGCCATTACTGGTACGTTGTATGAATATACTTAGTTGTAGCGCAGGGTGTTTGTGGTTGTAGTATACTAATATATTCTGCATTTAGGAGAAACAATGGAAACCTTTACCAATTATTCTATTTGCGACAATGGCCTTTTTGTCTGGGGTATTTAGTCTATTTTTCCCAGAAACTGCAAACACCCATCTTCCTGATACTATCAAAGAAGCAGAAGAAATTGGTAAAAACAAACCAGAAAATAAATATACCTTCCCCAGTTGACACTCGGCTTTATTGACACGAAGTAGTTCCATTAGATACAGAAGTATTTAGTAATAATAAATTTTTACTTCATCAAATTTAAAGTTTCAGATTTTTTTTCTTTCTGGTGTGCAAACAACATTCAATTTGAATAATAATAAAGAAAATAAGTACAATATTTTTATGCTTTGATTGTATGAATCAGATGCAGTTGAGATACTAAAAATGTGAAAGATAAAATGTTTTGGTTTGATTTTTTGTTTGTAAATAGTCCAATTTTTTGTAAAAAATCTCGCAATTTTCGCATATTTATGTGATATACAGTAATTTTATGTAGCTAAATTGTAACCGATCAGTATTTTATTAAAAATTTTACTATTTTGTCATAATTAAATGTACTAACGTGTACAGAGTGTATGTGGATGGTATTGTAAAGGAATTAAAAACGAAACTTAAACCGTTTTACACTTGGATAATGAAGATGAATCATTTGCAGATAAACTTCATACTTAAACTTATTTATACACTCGTTAATTAAGATTATGGCTTTCCGTCAATGCCACTCCAACCAGTCCCCTTGAAAATGGTACATTCTTGTAAGCACCTCTTGTGCACTGCGCTTTTTAACATAGAAATAGTTCTCCAAATTGTCAAAGAGTAAGCAACTGAGAAAGCACATGTATTTTAGAATATTTCTGGTACTTCAATAGTAGTCCGAACGTTCCCTTCGTTAATCCAATTAATGTTTGTTGGTATAACCTTTTTTCGAGGCCATCACAAGTATGCTCTGCGCAGTCAACAGAATCAGAAAAATTCTATCGCAACAAAAATAACTGCTCATACAATAGCCATTCATAATAACAAAAAATAATTGCCATCTCGCTTTCTGTTAATTTGTCTTGATTACCTAACCTGATTTTTCATTGTTCAACGATGTGTGATTCTGTATTTATTTCTGAAGTTGATTTACTTTTGCATTATGTGCGCGCGAGGTTTTTTCTTGCTGGATCTTTTTTCCTGGCTTTTGGTTCAGGTTTGCTTTGAGGAACCAAGGCCTTTCTCGGAATAAAATTTTTCGGATCTTTTCAGGCGCACAAAATTAATAGTTTTATTTATTTCCTTTCCCCATGGGCTCTCACTTTCTCAACACATAAGAGTCGATCATAATATAACACAACTCAATATCACTATTTATACCGTGCACTACACAATCCTAGTCACGGCAAGGTGAGTTGATAGCAATGGCGGCACTTCCACCATTTTATATGGGAAGCGGGTGCATCATGTAGGTATTTTTAATGTTGTAATTTGTTGTTGACATTTTGAGGTGGAAAAGAAAAAATTGGTGGAATATGTTCAGTTAGGTGTAAGAAACAACATATTAAAAATCCCAGACCCTGTGCTAAAGGCTCCAGCCACCCCAACACCCCCCAGAAACCGTGTTTTCGCCCTTTATGGCTGATATCTCGCGATCTATGAGGTCCAGATGAAATATTTATATTTCTCGTGAAATTTCATACAAGGTAGATACTCAGAAGTTAGCCAAGGTCCACCTCTTAGCTTAGAAAATTCATAAAAGAGGCAAAAATCACCAATTTTCGTGGTTTTTTGCGGTTTTTTGCAAATATATCGCGACCTTTAGGGCTAGATGAAATATTTTTAGCTGAAAATGCTCCTCGTGAAATTTCTTACAACGTAGATACTCAGAAGGTAGCCTAGGTCTACCTCTTAGTCTAGAAAATTCATAAAAGGAGGCGAAAATCATCAATTTTCGTGTTTTTTTTGCGTTTTTTTGAAAATATATATATAAATTATTGTTGAAAATGTACTTCACATTTTATTTTGGTGATGTAGTATTCAATATTTTAATCGTCTGCGTTTCTATTTCAATATGTGTCTGTGTGTTGTTATGGGAGTTCTGGTTTTTTTGCACAACCACTTTTCCAAAATAGTATATTTAGAAAACTATAATCAAGTACTACTAAAAGTATCAAAACTTTAGATTCCTGATAACAGAATCTAAAATTCCCGAATTATTCTGTAAAAAGTAACGGTAAATCGTCAGGCTGAAACTGAAAGTACCATTCTATATAAAGCTGACAGTTTTAAAAGATGTTTTTGTGTTATAAGATACAGAATACACCTACACAAGGCCAAGAAACAGACAATACAACCCATTGTTCTAATATGGCGTCTGTAAATACAGTGAATGCATACTTACCGTTGTAAAATGGTATTATCTTTGCCATTTAGAAGTGTTGGCTCTCTTGTAACGAGGTCATTAGAGTATAGTTATCTACCGTGACTCTCATCTATGCTCTCATTTAGATCAGGTATAAACCTTCAATTTATCCGTTTTAGTTCACCATAATACCGTTAGGTACCACCACTTTATCAGCGCTCTCTTTTGAATCCGTTAGCCTACTTCTACACTATACAATGGTTGTATGTTTCTCTGAATGCAACCTTTTTGTTTGTTTGAAAATAACTTAACCTATTTTGTATTTTGCTAATAAACAAATGTAATGTAAGTAAAAATATAAAAAAAGTCGTGTTATAATCATATGGTTACCTTTTAGGTTCGCAATAATAAAGAAAATACTTTGTAATACAAAACTAGATCATTTTGTTTTACAACACAAGGTTGTGCTTCGTAACTTGTATACAGTCTATGAGAAGGAATTCAGTGATGTGACACCCTTCTGTAGTTTAAACATTTCACTTCCTTATAACATTATATTAGAGCCTTTAGATTTATACAATTATCCCAATTGTGATAAAGTTATTATTAGAATAGAGAGCAATAAGCAGTTCCAACCTCTCATCAAACATAAACGTGTTGCCCATGGACTTAATCTTTTTGCTAATGATGAAACGTCACATGCGATATGTAGAATAGCGGCCCCCATTAAAGCAAGTAAGTATTATACTCTTCCTAGCTTGCTAATTGCTATACAGAAAGAACTACAATTTTAGGTATAAATGCTACTTCCGAGAATGGGAATATCACACTCAAAAACTTCAACGGAAAGACAATTGGTATTAAGACTGGCAACGGAAACATAAATGTCTCTAAATTGTATTGTGAACATATATCATTGACTAGTTTAGCTGGGAATATAACTTGCAAAACAGTTTTACAAGCAGCGGACATTCATTTGCACACAGGCAAGAATGGTGTAAGTTGACTGTTCACTAATCTAGTTATTCTAAAAGTAACCATTAGCCAAAATGATGAGTAATTGAATTGTCCATGGTTCTAAAGTTAATGTTTTATATAAATGCCAAAATAAAGGCAGTACCAGTATGTATCCATAATGGCATTGGTGAAAAATGGTGTCTATTGTTCTTTCCTTTTCTATCATATGCTATAGGTACCTACTTTTTGAGTTTTGCAGGATATTTCAACCGAAAAATTGCTGGGCATTAATTTATCGGTTATAACAGCTAGTGGCAATATTAATACAATGTCATCATATTGCAACAATTCACATTTCACAACTGAAAGTGGATATTTGAACCTACATAATGTGCATAAAAATTGTCACATCGTTTGCACCGAGACTGCAAAAGTAAACCTAGGTAACCATATACTTTTTATAACTATTGTGTGGTGTTACTGTTCTTTCAGTTAGTTTCGATGGTAACCTGCAAGCTTGTATGGAAAGGGGCGAAGCAAACATACAAATTGCCAGAATAGAAGGTGATTCGAAAATTACAATGACTAAGGAAGGTGCCTTAAAATTAAAACTTTCTAATGAGTGTCTAGAAAGTTCAACTTTTAAAATACTTGCAAAAGATCTGGAAATAAACAAGGACATTTCAGTTCTACTAAGTGAAGATGATAATTATAAAATAATTAGAAATGACACATCTATTTCTAATACATTAATACACTGCCCTTATGGTGGTGTTGTAGTTGAAAGTTTGTCATGGAAAGAGATGTTTAATTTAGGTTAGTCTTAATTTGTTGATTAAATGTTACTTATTACTATTGTTGTATATATTTTTTTTTACTGCAAATCCATACAAATTGGCAGAGGCACACTCCAAATATTATTTGGAACAGGGGGAGAAATTTTTATTTTTGCCTTATTTTTGAGAGGGCGGGGTTTCAGCCAAGGCTGCTCTACCAACCCAAACATACATTTACAAATATCCATGCCCAAACCCGGATTCGAACCAGCGACCCTTTTAGCACCACAGTCCAGCATGAACTGAACTGCGCCACACGGGCCGCTGCGCTGCGTGTGAGCAAGAGGCGAATAGTGCACTTTTATCTCTGTGGACATTTCATGCCTTAACAAATATGAAATAATTTTTAATTTGTGACACCAATATCAAGTCTGTAAGTGGTATAGTTCCGGAGCCTTTGTGACTCAGACAGACACAAAGAGCGCAAAGTCTACTAAAATCCATGTTTTTGAAGGGATTGTGCCTGAGGCAAATAGAGAAAGTAATTGTTAAGATTCACTTCCACAGCGTTTTATTGTACCAAATGAACCTCGCGCATATAAGGCAGCAGAAGGGAGGGGTGTAATTATTTCCTTTACTCCCTGCAGCCTCCAAAAGTTGCTAAAATATTTTTATGTCTTACTAACCTATCATAGCACATTTTATATCTGATACGCGGGCATAAAGTAGTATCACCATAGTAACTCATTTATACGTAATGACAAAACAAACAAATATTTGCAGGTCATTGAAAATTAGAAACGTCAATTATTAATTGTCAATATCTACTAAATCACAAGATTGGCCTTATTTCGTATAGTTTCTGGAACTTCTTCCTCATTCACGATGAATTGAATTATTTAAAATTACGTTTGACGTTTGGATGGTTTCAATCACATTAACAAATTTGAACCACGCATACTCGATCAAACATAATGAATTATTTTGTAAACGAATTTTGACGAAGAAAACTATTTGTAAGACATAAAATTGTGTATGTACCACGGGCATAAGCTGATGTTTATACTCTCGGGCGACTAAAAAGCTCTCGCTCGAGCTTTTTAACTCGTCGCCCTCGAGAATATAAACATCACTATTATGCCCTTAATACATAAATAACTATTTTACAATAAAAACTATATTTTTATAGCAGTTAGCAGTCTGATTTCTCCTCTAAAGAGAATCTTTGGCCAAACTCATTCCTAAACTCCTTTCTAGCTGTAAGCGAACTCGTAGTGTTAAGAGCATTCTCTCAGAGTCAACAAAAGGTCCCCATTTTTTAGGCATTTAGAAGAGCACATCTTTTGTTGTTCGTGAAGAACATCTCTGAAAGTTACATGAATCCTAATGAACGCGTGACGTGGAGATAGGTACGGTGTTAAAATAAAAGAAAATATTGTCGCAAGTAAGAAAGTTTACATGCGTAGTCTACGCATGCGCACTTGCCAAGATTTGTTTAGGCTCAAGTGTCAGAGCTAAAACAAATATGTGACAGTAATGGCCGTTTGCACCGACAAATTTAAGCGGAACTTAGCTTAAGCGTCGCCTTAAATATCCATGGCAACGATTATTGAGACAATGGTTGCCATGGATTTTAAGCTAAGATCCGCTTAAATTTGTCGGTGCAAACGGCCATAAAAGAGGTCTTCGCCTGTGCGTCAATTAACAACTCCCTAAAAAATGTCAAATTTTAGTTTATAACAGCGAAAGGGTATAAGTATAACATGTTACATAAAAGATAAGTAGGTACTTTTCAAGTACTTTCTAAACCTGCAATAAAATATGGGATGTTCCATTAGTCTTCTAACTCTATACCTGGGACATACTGTAACTATATAAAATACTATACGAGCAAAAATGAGTTGCTGTCGAGTCACCTTTGGAATTTTTGTTTACATGGGAAATCGTCTTAGACCATATAGTACATGAACTGCTACATATTAGTCCTATGCTTAGAGAAGGAAAGAGTGATTTAGAGTCTTATGCTTTCAATACAAAATGTGTGGCCACGGATAGGGGGCACTGTAGTCGTGGGTAAGTTGCATCGGGCGATAAAAGATTGCTCATGTTGCATCGATTATCGCACCGCTCCAGTGGGAACCGCGCCTTCAAGTTAAGTATGATTTACCATGTAAACAAAAATTCCAAAGGTGACTCGACAGCAACTCATATTTGATCGCATTGTACTGTATGGTTTAAGGAAATCGTACTTTTCCAAAGGCGAATCGACCGCCACATTTTTTATTGCCAGTTATATGTACAGTGAGTTTTTTTTTAATGCGAACATAGGAGTTTGCATGCAATGTAATTTCCCTATGTTCGATTTTTAAAAAAACACATCAATCTATGAGGTGTGCGCGGTTCACATTCCCAAATCGCGCAACTTGTGTGACTATGAACCAAGGTTAATAGAGAAAACTATGAACAGCAACTCTATATAGTCTTTATGATGAGAGCACTCGGTAAAATTTTTTTTAAAGAAGTCATGCGAGGCCATAGCAACTTTAAGATACATTTTTCTTAAACTTTCGATAACTTGTTTTTTTTAAAATCGAAATAATTACATTGCATGCAAACTCCTATGTTCGCATTAAAAAAAATTCACTGTATATGAGTTTCTGTTTCACTCAACGGTACCCACAGAGTTGTATGACGGTACCACATAGAGAAGAAGAAAGAAATCTGATTTACCCATATCTATAAAATATATACAGAGTGGTGCTTAGCGCATAGGGATGACGCAGCATAGGGATTTCAATGGTAATTTTTTTATAGGCAATTATGTACTAGCTCCCCTAAGTATTTTAGAGCAAATGTCTAAATCAATTTTTTTAGAGAAAAAAATAAGTACTGCATCTGTGCATACTATTGGGGTACCTACTTCACACCTTCCTTCTCTAAGCTTCACACTAAATAAAGACGTTACTTGGCGGTCATAAAAAAAAGTGGAACTTTATATTTGGGGTATGAACCCAAAAGCTTAATTTAGCTTAAATCTTTTTGTTTTAGTACCTATATGAGGTATATAAGTCAGCTTTAACATTTCCACTTTCTCTTCAGTTAAATACAAGTGGCACCACGCTCAGAAAGTCCCTCACAGGGCGTGTCCGAGGGCGCTAGAAATTTAGACCGTACATTCTGATGCAAAATTTAAAAACACTTTAAGGGAATTACATACCTTATCAGATCGTAGATTCAAGCTATATGCGTTGAAAAAGACAAGTTTGTATAAAACTGGAGACGGAAAACGTAAAATAAAGCAAATACAAGAAGCAAAGTGTAAACTAAAATAACGTAAAGCGTCAACTGTCAAAACGGAATAATTAATAATTATGGCGCGGAATGTATCGCGTCGTTTTGCAGACTTTCTATTGGACAGCCTGAATTATTTCAAAATTAGTTCGCATATTTTCCGAGGCTCTTCTGAGCATGGTGGCACTGTACCTATAATAAACAATTTTATGAATAACTAATTTATAAATAGGTTGAAAGGTTCCACCCTGTATATACAGCTTACGACCATACATACATTTTTGAGAGTTGGCAACCATGCAATTTCTAGGTGGGAAAAAAAGTTGCCTGCGCCACCTAGAAAGCACGAACGGGAGTTACGTTTGGCATCTGGTCTTGAATGGAGGTAGTGAACGTTTCGCTCCATAAATGTTTGTTGTTATTTTGTGTTATTTAATGCAGGTAGTAATTTTTGCATTTCTTTATATCGTATTTGTGTTTTGTATGCCGCATTTTATATTTGTTGTGTGTTTGAATCTCTGTTTTTGAAATTTACTTTGTTTAACCGCAATGCAATCATATGTGTGATACCGTTATGCTATTGTTTTTAATTGTTTACATTTTTGGTGTAATGTTTGCTTAATTTATGTTTATTGATGTTGATTACTTGGTCTTGTCCTTGAAGTTACATTCATATAAGTTTTCATTTTATTTTAATACTCATGTGGAAATTGCTGATTCGTTTGATGTATGTACTGACTTGTTGTATGTTACTAACAATTTTCTCCGTGAATGAAGCAGTCTCGGGAAGGTGGAAAAAGAAACTGTAGTCTATATTTATGTGTTAGGGCACCTAATTCCGTGCACTGTCTTCGACATCCAACTGTAGGTTCGAAACCCCGAAACCAGGGGCGGACTACCCATCTTGCAGGAGCGAGATTACGCTAATCAAAGCTCTTCAGTTTAGAATCTATGTGCGTTAAATGAGTGGCGATTTAATAATTTCCACATATCTTGTTTTTAGTCAAATTTGCCTACAAGGCCATGTAATTTTCCATCTTGCTTTCAACAAAGGACTTTATTGCACCAAAGATGAGTCACATCCTGTGTATTTCACCCTTTCTCAGAATCTTGGTACCTGTTTCTACCTGACCCATTGTCCCCAAAAACTTGCTTTAACCTTGAGTGTAACCAACATTGTGTATATGCATTTACTATCTTTGTTAACTACTGCTAAAACTTTTACAAAATATTTTGTTAATTAACTTTTGGACTGTTTTAATCAAACTGCAAGGTTTTTCTTACGTCGTACTCTTTTTATCCTTGGCAGTGACTTTTGCGAGAGTACGACACCTTTTGGCTTTGTTTGTTTTGTTTATATTAATGTACATCAACTAAATTTCCGGGTTTTCACAATCATAATAATTACGATCATTATTAAACAAACTTCTCACAATTTCAGTGTTTTATTTAAAAGTCCTTCCCTACTGTGCTTCAGGTCAAAGCGTTGTCTACAACTAACGTAAGGAGGCCCTGCCTTAGATGTTTTATCACGTGCCACTTTTCAAATTTAAGCGGGTACTTGTTTAGTTTTAGAGGGAATAGTCCATATATGTATAAAAGTCTCTGATAAAATGGAATAGTCATTCGGGTGGCCATTTTTTAAAACGTTGCCGGGTTTATTTTATTTCCGTGTTCTTGTAGTGTGAAGTTAGCGTAGAACCTGGGGGTTAAGTACATTACAAGGTATAAATTTAAAGCGTCAAAGGCAAATAATGAAACATAATCGCTGTTTTTTTAAGTAATTGTAAGGCATCTGATTAATTGAAAAATTAACCTTTTTATTTTGTCGATTTCTACGGTTTTGAAAAACGGAAAATTATAAGTAGCTATAGTTTGAATAGATGCATTTTTTCTCTAAAAAACATTAGACTTTTGCTCTATAATAATTTTGAGAGCTAGTAATTGACTATACAGAAATTACCATTGAAATCCCTATGCTGCGTCATGTTTACAACTCTACCTCCTATCGGTGAGGTGACCTAAATTTTTCTTGGTGCGCTGTTCTGTCACGAGGTGGGGCTGCTGTTCGTCCTTTGTTTATGTTTGTGTTCGAGTTGTGATCGTGAATCGTGATGTGTTTACAAATCGTTAGCTTACAGCGAAGCTTGTAGTGGTCGCCTCGTCGCCTCTCTGTTGCATTAAAATCAAATTTTGCCAAAATTAAAAATGGGGTGCTGCACATCAAAGCCTACGACATCGTATGACGAAAAAGGAGGTGACCGTGGATGTACAGATGTTTTTTGGTTACTTGTTTACATCCTTTTTTGGACTTTAATGGTCTGTAAAGTTTTGCAAAGTAAAGTACTATCCATCACTTTGCTTACAGATATTGGTAGCTGCATTCTCTTTCGTGTACGGAAATCCGTTGCGCATTGTGAACGGTTACGATTCCTTTGGCAATATATGTGGTACCAAAAATAATAAATATGTGGGAAGTTTAGAGTTGTCCGGTAGAGATATGACCGGCAAGCCATATTTGTTATATTACGATATTAGAGAACTGAAACTATGTCTGAAGATTTGTGTTAAAGAGTGTCCGAACCGAAATATTAGAGATATGGACGAACTGTACACGTATTACCTTCAAACGCATAATGATATTTGTAAATACGATTTTGACTACAACAGTTTAAGGTATATTTCAGACAAGTCAGGATTTGGGACAACGTTTGGGCCTTGCCCTAAATCTGTCTACGACAGGTAAAGTGGGTGTCGTCTTCTACCTTAATTGATAAATCATTTTACAGTGAACCTATACTAAATCGGTGTGTACCAAAACTTTTAGGTGATGTAACTGTTGGTGTATTGTCTGGGTTTTATGATCTGTTAAACAGTTGGGATACTATGGAACAAATTTTGGGGGATCTGTACAATAGCTGGCACCAAATACTCGGGCTCGTGTTTGTTTCATTGAGTTATTGGTTTGTACGAAATGACGTTCTTACTTTGAAGTGTGTTCTTTGTAGTTGTCTCTCTTGTTACGGTAGCATTACTTCATTTACTTGCTAGCATAGTTTCATATATGTGATGATACTTGTCAGTATAGCATGTATTGGTGGTACTGGATTCCTGTGGTACACGTACTATGATATTAGAGTAAATAATGCGAGTCACACCAATAAATTAATTCCTGTACTATCAGAAACGACAAAAAATGAAACAACATTCCTCTGGTTCGCCATTGGGTCTACTATAATTACAGTAAGTATGTTACTAAGCATACAGTATGTCTAACGAAATAGGTGGAAAAGGGGACAAAAGCAAACATTTTTTCAAATAATCTTTTGTTTGTAATTTAGAGCCCCAAAAGCAAGGATGGACGAGAAGGTTAATTTTTTTAAAAGCTGTAACCACGTTTACTAAATAAGTATTAAATTTCTCTTTTTCAGGTGGTGATTTTGTTACTCATTGTTTTTACCCGTAAGCAAGTAGATTTTTTGTCAAATCTCTTTAAGGAAACATCAAACTGTTTATTACACATTCCTACATTATTTCTGCAGCCCTTAATTACCTTCATATTCTTACTTGCATTTTTTATATTTTGGGTGGTAGTAATGGCAAGTATACACACTCATATCTGCAATTAGTGAAGAAAATCTTCTTTCAGCTATGTTTAACTACTGCATACTACCCAGGTCAGTCGAGTGTGAATCCATCTGTACCAATCGGTCCTGAGAGTAAAATACCACCAAATGGAACACTGTCAAAAGCAGTGGGTGAAATTTCGTTCCCAGATTTGAAAAGTGTGTATAATTCGTTTACCCTTATTGTTTGTGGCTGGGCTATTTTCATAATTGATAGTCTTATTACGAGGTCTAACACTAAAAATAGTTATATTATAATCTATCAGCTAAAACTGTAAAATCCCCAGAAAACGGGAAATGGCAGTAAGAATGATGTGGCCGCAAAATGACCTAAGTGCTTATTTAAATATTTTCATGTTGACTGCACTTCCGGGTATACCAGAGGGCGGTGCCAGCTTATTTTAAATGGAACACCCTATATATTACAGAAGTTTCGCTTTGGTGAACTGTGTTGATATTTTGACTATGGGTTTCAACTAAGATTAAAACTTGAATTGAAAAACTTATAAATTTTTTTTTTAAATAAACACCCCTTATTTTTCTAACCAAACTAAATTTGCACAAAGTAGTATGTATATTCAAAAAGTTAATCAAAAAGGAAGTGTTAAATTTCACTACACAGCTTTTGACTCATAAAGCAGAAAAAGATTCTGTACTTGCGTTAAATGGATCTCTGCATTGTCTTAATGACTATATTTTCCAGAGTTTACAGAAATTCAATATGTTGATCCATTGTGGGTAAAGTATATGTGGTGGGTATACTTTATTGGGCTTATTTGGACTTCAGAATTTATAATGGCATGTCAGCAGATGGTGATTGCTGGTTCAGTTGCACATTGGTATTATAGGTAGGCATTGCATTAGTGTAAATCTTTGTACATGTACGTATAGTTGTGTTGCTAAGTACCACACTCCATTCCATTATGTTGCAATTAACCCACTTTATATTGGGTTTAAGTAAATAATGCTCCTTAACTCGTATTAATTTCAGGAATAAGTACAACAACAGAGGATCACACGTTACATATGCCATTTGCAAATTGTTGAAATATCATCTGGGTTCAGTCGCACTAGGTTCCTTGCTGATCACTATATTTAAAATTCCACGTCTGATTCTCACTTATCTTCATGCAAAGTAAGTATCTGAAAATATAAAGATGATCAAGAAATTCTTAAACTAGGGCACAATATAATTGTAAGTAGGAGTTTACAGCCACCTACATGCAGTGTGATTCTATTGTTCTATAATTTTTATCATCATTTAAATCTGGCGTCTTCTAATGGTCCCCCTACACCGTCAATCTTCCCTTTACGCCATTGTGAAATTGGCACATTTGCTTAATTTATGGAAATACATACATATCACGAGACAGAAGGCCCCGTTCCCTTGTAGTTTCCTGAAGTGCTGTCGGAGAACACCTTTAGGCCTTTAATTGGATGAACTGTTTAGGAAGGAATAAGGGACATACAGGACAGACATTCCTTTTACTTATATTGGATGAATATTCCCAAACCGAACGTAGGGAATTAACATGGGAAAAAGGTTTTTTGTAAATAGTTGCTCCCCATGTTAACTTAGAGGGTTTATAATGACACCAATCCAAAAAAGATTTTTTCCTCGTCTAATGATATACGAATTAGTTCATTTTCAGGTGTTTTTCTCACTATTTTATATATATATCTATTGAACTGTAACAATGGCTCCATATATTGCTCTGATTGTAGACTTTTTTTTATGGATGTTGTGTACGAAGTCCCTTATGTGTGGGCCACCCCCTTCGCGCACCCTGACAGATGCACAATGAATTTACGGCAATGATAGAGATTAATACGTTACGGATTCATAATGTGTTTCCTATTTATTGCAACGTCCATTTCGAGTAGGGAGTATCTGGAATTCCCATTTCGTACACTTGTACCTTAAATACATTCAACCAAATTAAACTGTTTTTATTTAATTACTCGGTCTGCAGTTATCGGAAAAATATGGGAAAACTTGCAAACATCTACACCAATAAGTAACTATAAATTGTGCACAACTCTTGTGCAGATAAAGCGCATTTTTAAAAACCGAAATAGCTTGGTAAATGGTTGCGTTATAAGGTAGTAGCATGCTATATTTATCAATGTTTTCTTTCTTGTTTTCGATTATTCGATATTTCAATTTTAAGCAAAATTTGTAAGAAGCATAAGGTACTTAAATTATTAAAAAAATAATTATTAAATTAAAATTATTAAAATATTCAAAACGAAACTCTCAAACATTCATTTAGTATCAACAGTTTTTGTGCAAAATGACAAGTTTAGGGAAACCAAATGTATCGAAATTTTGGTGATAAGGTATATAGTGGTGATTATGTTGAATGAGTTGTTTGTTGCAGTGGTGTTGTAAACATGTGTGATTGTTTCAATAAAATTTTTTAACACCATTTAAACAATAAACTATGTTTCATTGTGAGAATATTAGCAGAATGAGTTCGATGAAAGTTTTTAATCAGTCAACACGAAAATCAGTTTTAATATAAACTTACAATGACACATTTCTTGAATTAAATTTTTGACATATTTCAAAATTTCTTATATACTAAGCTGGCGCTGTATGAATCCAACATTCATACATATAATACGTAAACATTTTGTTGTATGTTCTAGGTTGCAAGCAAATAAAGATAAAGGCAGTGAATGCGCTAAGTGTGGTCTTAAGTGTTGTATTTGCTGCTTTTATTGTTTGGAAAAATTCATTAGATACATCAACCACAATGCGTACACGGTTATTGCAATTGACGGTACTAATTTTTGCTCATCTGCTTGTACAGTATGTTTCTTCTATTTATCCATTAAGAAAACAAGTAAACATTCTTTTTTAGGCATTTCAGGTGTTAACATCGCATATTATACAAGTGGCCACCATCAATGGTATTGGAGATTTCATCCTGTTCCTAGGAAAGGTTTTTGTCACAGCTTTTACGGGATCCCTTGGACTTTACTTTTTTAGACATAACGCCAAATTAAGTTTCTATGCAGCTCCAACGATCATAGTGTGCGTGTTCTCTTTCTTTGTTGCACACTGTATTTTATCGCTGTATGAAGTAAGTATCATTGATGTTAGCCCGAGAATATTTTGCCACTGTATTATGTTTCATTTTAGATGGTACTTGATACAATATATTTATGTATGTGTCAAAACTCGGAGGATGCTCCTGAAGGAATGCGGTTAGAAAATTTGACAAACAGAGCTAACAGAACTCCAGTTGCTCAAGCTCAAGAATTTGAAGATATTCCTATAAAATAAGGGTTTTACTTTGCTCATTAGTGTTGTTGTTTGAGGGGATTTCCTTGATGTGAGATGAGATGGCTTGGTGTATATAATTTATAATAACTTGACGAAATCTAACTTTTTGCTTGTTTGTTGATATGGTTTAATCGTTTAAAACGATGCTCTTTCAAGTAGAATATGCTCATCACTTGATCAATCTCGTTTTAATAGACTCCATTTTTATTATACATTGGAAAATGACTTCACTAATGGAGATTATTGCGTAAATCGTTTCTGTAGTTTTTGTGTCAAGTTATAACTTCGCTTTTGATGTGCACAAACCACTGCGTCTGTACCTTAATTAGTTGTACTACACTAACCGTACTTTAACATTTTGATGGTTACTAATTAAATGTGCCATAGTCGTGATGCTCGGCATGCAAAGAAAAGTTACAATGTTGGTTGTGCTAGTAGTGAGTTTTTGACGTTTTGATAGTACAATTGGATTGCATTCATTTGTAAAATGTAAAATGAAACGCTACTGCTTTCTAGACTTGCCTATTCCGTCCTTACTTAAGTAGGTAACTGTTCGAGCATCACATACATTCCATAACAGTGCTACCTAATGATTTCTTTGAAAAGAAAGGCTATGCTTTTGTTTACACAGGTTGCTATTTTTAACACTTTTTATTAAGACTGACGAATGCAAAAAGAACCTCAAATTTGTACCTTTATATACACTTCTTTCTGTGATATAACAATTATTACTCACTCTACGTGAACTAAATTTCACTATAATAATATACACACTTATTTTCTACAGCACGGCATAAAATGTATATTTTTATTTATTGTTAGGATACATACAAACTTTTAATGTACGTTTTTACTGAAGATTTTTATCGCTTATGCTTTTTTATTCTTGATTGACAGTGTGATACACAAAATCATTAAAAAATGGTTCATAGTATTATTAAAATTCATAAGTACTGTTAAAAACATTTAAAATATACAAATTGTTTAGTAGATGTGGAAAGCACCAATGTAATGTTTCAGCTACTAGAAATAAATGTAACATAATTTCAATTTAATGATTTTCTTGTTGTAACAGACCATGTACTGTGCTGTGTTAACGTTCATAAACACACAGTTCTAGGGATATGCTGTTACTGTCACTCCTATAATAGGAGAGCCACCTGGTATTGTTTTCAATAGTCATCATGATATACTTAAGGGTCAACAATAACTCACAAAATCGTTCCTAGAGGCTTAAAAGGGTATCCTCGTTATAATGAAAATATACAAACTTGTTTTTTTTATGGAGTATACTTTTTGAGTTTAATCAAAAACAAACTGTTTGAGATTCGAACGGGACTTATTGTATTCACAGTTAAAAGTCAAAAACGGTAACCTTACTGGGCCTCGCAGGTTAAATTGTATATGAAAATGTATTGAGAGGGAACTGGAGAAGAACGCTGAATCTGGTGTAAACCTTCAAAAACCCATCGATTCAATTCAAAATATTCAGATATATATATAATCGAGAAATTCCCTTATACCTTTCGGTGTTGGGATTACAGGTTGTTAACATATTGTCTACTTACTATTAGGTTAACAATAGGAAACAAAAATAACATATGCTCTAATTCACAAAACTCTTCCATTCACTTCTGTCTTTCACAGATGAAGACGTTAAAAGGAAAAGAGAGGATAATGAATATAATTAAATAACTTGACTTATTAACGATAGCTTTTTATTCAATATTTGATGAGAAAAATCACTAACATAAGGATCGTGAAGTGATACTTAAGACGTTAAGATGAATTCTAGTTCTAATTACGTCACAACCTATACTTATATTCTTGGATTATAAATGTAAATACAAATAAATGATAATGATTTGGACATTGTGAGCATACATTAAATAACTGTAACTTTCCCAGACTGAGAATAATAGGAAAGCCGATAAGCTATAATTAAACTTTGATTGAATTCCACATAAGTTGATTAATAAGAGAGTATTTTATTAGGTGATATAACTTCTCTCTCCTTAAGTCAGAACGTCCTCGTTCTTTACCTTTTTACATTCTAAGAGAGATTCTAGGGACATATCATTAATTGGTTTAGATCCCTTTAACAAAACTTTGATTCTATTTCTAAATACAAATGTTACAATAATTATACAAGAAAATATAATAACAATAAAGAAGCTTACACTAAAATGAATCGCATGCACTACAGGATGTAAATGTATAGGTTGGTCCAGAGATTTGACCTCGTCTTTTAAAGTGTTGAAGTCTTTTAAATGTTTAGGTTGAAGGTTTACAAGAGAACTTGTTTTAAGATCATTAAATTTTAAAAAATGTTGAAAAGTAATATTGACAAAGGCGTTTTCAAAAATTTGATCGTCTATGATTAGTTTACAATCTAATTCAGAACTTAATAATGCACTATTTGTTATTTTGATAGAGTTAACTTCATGGTGACATTCTTCTATTACATTAATGTCTAATTTTGATGAAATCAAAATTTTACCGTCTTTTAGTTGTGTAAATAGTCTATAGTTATTATTTGCAATAGCGCAAATACAGTCATGTATGTCATGTACAAGTGAGCACTTGTCAATGCGTGGTTCCTCAATGCAGATGGTCTGGTTTCTGAATGTTTTGCAGTCTTCCTCTGTCCAAAATTCTTTTTCTTCGCCCAGGAGATAATATTTTGCTGGTGGTATTATTACCTTGTCTTGAGAGTTAGGGATGGGATATATTCTAGAGTACCGATATAAAGTTGGATTGAGGATAGGAATGTACAGAATACATGTTATTATCTGCGACACTGATACTATTCGAACCTTAGAAAAATCTAAGATAGTAAACAGATGTTGTGTATCTAAATCTAGTAACTCCGTTTGTTTATAAATCGATCTTACATGATCAATAATACTAATTAGTTCAGAATTTGAAATTACTTCAAGATTAACAATGTTGGAGGATGCTAGAGATATCGTTCTTTCTATCATTTGGAGTGTATTTAGTAATTTTCGTGCCATATGATTACTGTACTGGACAATAGACTGTGTCTCGAACATACTGCTCAGTGTGTTTATAGTTTGTATCGATAGATTTATACCGGTTTGTATACTTTTTATGTCATTTGAATAACGTTCCGTAATATGATTAGCAAAAGAAGTTTGTTTATTTATTTGTTTTAAGAGTTTATCCTGATTTTTAAAAAGAATGTCTAGGTTTTTGTTAATTTCTTTTAAGTCGTTATTGTCGGGGTTTCCAGTGATGTATTTTATAATTGTACCTAATCCATCTAAAAGAGACCGTTTAACCCTAGGAGTAAATTTTGAAAGTTGTTCCCTGAACAAATCGCAGTTATCTTTAAGTATCGTAAATACTCCATTAATAGTCGAATTTTGAGGTATCTTAGAGTCTAAAACGGCAATATTACTTAATAACTTATAATATCCTAATTCTAGTTCAGTAAGATTAAAATAAAAGTAAAACTTATGATAATGGCTTCTAACCTTGGTAATCCCTAGTTGATCCATGAAATAACCGTTTGTTTCAATTTTGTTGAATTGCAGCCCCTGGATCTGGCTCAGGAGGCCGATCCTGCAAGGAGAATTTTCTTTTTAACACGTCTTACTTTTCTAGTATTAATATTAGTAAGCCTATTAGAGCTTTCGCGCGTTCCCGTTATTTTATTTTTGTCTATTGAAGTTACATTGACTATCATAATATGGGTCAGTTTTCTTTATCCGCTGTCGTGTGAAATAAGCTACTGGTTCATTAAATTGTACGTCTTCCTTATTTTGATTTAATTTTTGGATAATATTTTTGCCCTTTACTAATTGTTTCTGATATAGTTCGTCATAAAAAGGTAGGAGCTCATCTTTACGCTTTTGATTATAGGAATTATATATTGTTTTTTGTAAATCTATTTCATGGGCATTTAGGTTTTCATAGGGACCGTATAGAAGCGTGAAAGGAGTATATCCGGTACTGGAATGTACAGATTGGTTATACGTTAGTACTGCTGTTATCATGAGATCTTTGGGTAATTCATTTTTATTTTGGATTTTACCCATTCTTAATTTTTCTAATAATGTGGAGTGTACCCTCTCTATGGGAGAGTTGGAGTTTGGATTATAATTGGTAGTAAAGTGAAGATCAATCTTGAATAATGCACAATATTCCTGAAATACATTATTTTTAAACTCTTTTCCCTCATCGCAAACAATCTTCCGTGGATATCCGTGGTGTGAAAAATAGTGTCGTAATTTACTAAGTATTGTGATTCCAGTTGCATCTTCGATATAATAGGCTTGAGTATACCTCGAGAATAAATCTATAATTGTTAAAAATTTACTGCTATCAAAACTGAAAGTGTCGATATGAATTACATCAAAGGGTCTTTTCGCAAGCATCGGTCCTAAAAGTTGAGACTTATAAGGATTTCTCTCATACTTGCCTAGAAGACAAGTTTCACATTCATTTATCATTTTACCTTGGTAGGTGTTTTAATCGATACATCGAATTTTTTAATCATTTAATGACCGAATTAATTCCAAATAACAAAATATCGACTCAAACCGTTAATCTTTTGTTTTTGCGACATTGTCAACCAACACATGCGAAATTATGGCTTACTAGTAGGCTTGGGACACTTCGCGACCCGAAGGACCAACATTCAAATGAGTATAACTTTTGTTTGAAAAGTTATTTTAAAAAACTGTTCGACAGTTTTGTTCCTTAACTCGTTTAGTATGTACACAACAAATTTCGTGGAATTATCTCTATTTTCGTTGTCCCGCCAAGAATTGCAGTGGAACTTTTTTTTTCGAATTTTCAAAAACTAATTTCAGATTCGTGATTTTCATGTTAAAAAACCCCCAGATACCAAATTTCGTCGAAATCAGAATTTTTTTTTGCACACTAGTTTAGGGGTGCGCCCTTTAGGGGTAGGAATTTTGAAAAAAAAATTGCAAAATCGGAAAGAGCACACCCAAAAACCTATTCAAAGACATGCCACCCGACTTTGTAACTCTTATGGTTGCTGAGAAAAAAATTAAAGAAGAAATGCAGATTTCAACACTCTTTGGGGGGTGGCTCCCAAACGAAACACGTTGGACCCTCGGTTTATTTGGAAAAAGTGCTTGTTTTGATGCCCTCTACAACCCGATTTTTTTTTTCGAACGGTCGTGTAACACCCTGTATATTGTATTTTATTTAGGTACTTTACACCTTTGAATCAAAGACTCGCTAATGTACCTACGATTGCCGCTTTAACGTTACGCCAATGAACTGTCAAAACTACCATTATTCAGTTTAAAATACTGGGAGCCTCAGAGTAAGAAATAATCTTACTCTGAGCTGGGAGCACGGAGTGTACCGCGTCGTTCTAATGGGTTTCTATTGGCCAATTTGAATTATTTTGAAAGTAGTTTAAGGTTCGCAAACCGACGTGGACATGCGGACGCGGGAGCGGGACCTTTACATATTTTTCGGTGACATTAAACCAAGCATTAAACCTCTAAATATATAATTCTAAACTATTATACATTTAGCAAAAGTAGTAACTACTGTTTTAATAAATTTTATTTACATTCGTGATTCGTCCTATAAAAGGAATAATTTTTATCACCCAACAAATGCTGTTATGCTGTATGTTACGACACTGGCAGGCGTGTCTTGCTGACAAATGGTCACAGTTTTATTGAAAGTATTACCCTTAGACTATGAAAGAAAGAAAGGTATTACCTGTCTTCTCTCTTTCCTAGTCTTGTCACTCCTCACTCTTTCCTTCTCTAAGCCTTCTAAGCCTAGACTCATGCGCCCCCCGTGACAACTTTTGGTACTACGCGACAGTCGACGCGTAACGGCTTTACTTCGCGCATAGCGGTATAGAACACTTCGCCGAATGCCCACAACACCGACCCGATTTTTCGTATGAGTTTGTAGTTCGAAAAAAGTTAAAAAAATATTCTAATTCTACAATAACCCTTTGCAATAACCTAACGTCAAAAGCAGCTTGCTGTTGCATACTGTCCAGCTTCATTCAGAAGTGTTGTATGACTGGACGTTATGGTCACGTTTGGCTTAGTCAGCTTAGTGTCCCTTGCACACTTGTCGACGATATGTGGGCATGGTCGGCGTAGTGTCCCTATTCGTCGATATGGACCATCAAAAAATCGGGTCGGCGTTGTGGGCATTCGGCGAAGTGTCCCGGCCCCAAGGAAACAGGTTCGAGTATCCAGACCTGTGTATACGACCGTCATTGAAATAGTCCTTTGATTAAATACTACTGGATAGCGCATTCTTAATGATAGAACAGTACAACCCCTGTTCCAATTCGTGCAACCCACCAGATATAAAAAAATTTTCAGTGAACAGAAATGAGATAAAATAAGAAGTTTGTACATACCAATTTGAATAGAGAATTTGCATACTTTTTTGAATAACCTGAAATATAGGTACCTACGTATCCTATTCCCTTTGGCAATAATATTTTGTCCAAATGCTCAAAGATGTACTCGATTTTAATAGCACTAATACGCCTACGAAACCACCTTAATTTTCGAGGTTTATTTTGTGCTGTTTAGGTGATTTTCGTCGTTATTGTGAAAACTGAGGGGTGTTAGAACAATGGAATCAGGGTTCCCTCAAGTACCTACAGTGAGACAATTTCAAACATTATTAGCATCAGTATATCATACTCTACTAAATTTGCTATTTTCAAAAAATGTGCAAATTCTCTATTGCGCATGTCAGGCGTTAAAATAAACTTTATAACGGCGTTGTCGGTATAACCCATATACAGTGTGTCCCAGATCGCGTGGGATTGCATGGGTAACTTGGTTATTATTAAAGATAGAGAATTGGTTAAATGGGCAAATATTTTGCAGTTTTAGATGTTTATTTAAAATTTGTTTATGGAAATTCAAAATGTTCGATTCGACGTAAATTCAAAAAAACTAAAATTGGTCATTCCCTTGAATGTCTTATATCATCGAAAGTATAAGAGATATAAAAAAAAGTTTTATATAAAAGTGGCTGTCTTTGATACGCTTCATTTAGAATTGATGTCAAAAAAAATTCAAGATGGCGACTTTTGAGGAACATTTACCAACTTCCTAAACTTAAATAGGCGCTACCTATATGGGATTTTTAGATTACTTGATAGATTTTTTAATTCTCTTTTCAACCGAGCCATCATAACATAAGATTGAAAATAAGATACCAGTTATATCAACGGTTTTTATATTTTAATCAAGTAAGCTGTGATGAATTAAAAAAAACAAAACAAAATCTATTCGAGCCAACAAAACAATGAAAATAATTACATCAGATGTTTAAAAAATCAGGGGTGCACTCATGAGAGGGGGGTTTGGGCATTACAACTCCCTCCAAAATTTTATATAAGTAGGCCTAGAAAAATTTTGATTTTTATGTCACCACTTATTGACTATCTCATTATCCATACTTACATACCTACAAATGGTGGTATAACTACAAACTATCCCTTCGAAAAAATGTCATGCCATTATCCAGTTAAACACATTTCAAGACAATTTGCTTTATTTTACACAATGTATTACCATTGATGCATTGTCCCAGGTCACATTTTGTAGGTCAGTAGGTGGTTTATCCGCAAGAATATCGAAACTAACAGTTATACCAGTCCGAGTATATGGACAGATGAATCTTATTTTTCTAACTGCGGAGTGTTCAAATCGACATAATGAACACTATACTCGTCACAGGAAAACCTACATAATGTTGTAATTTCACGCCGAAATCAAGTAATATTTTTTTTAATTAATGTATTTTATGGCATAATGGGAAGTCATGTAATTGGACCGGTAATCTTCGTTGGATCTGTAACTGCTCACCATTATTTACAAATTCTCCAATAAACTTTCTCGACAACGTATGTTTCGAAGAAAGGGTTGGTTTATGCTACCTACCAACAAGCTGTCTGCTCTGGTCACAATTCACGAATTATGTACAGTACATTAAATTATAAAAGTAAGTACTTAATTAAAAAATAAAACCAAAGTGGAAGTAGCTACCACTACAATAATAATAATAATCATCAATGGCAACACGTTGCCTAAACTAAACTGTCTTGAAGTGTGTTCCGCTAATAATGACCAGTATTTTAAACATCTGGTGTAATTATTTTCATTGTTTTGTTGCCTCGAATAGATTTTGTTTTTTTTTTTTATTCGTCACAGACTACTTGATTAAAATACAAAAACCGTTAATATAACTGGTATCTTATTTTCAATCTTATTTTATAATAGCTCGTTGAAAAGAGAATTAAAAAATCTATCAAGTAATCTAAAAATCCAATATGGTGCCCATTTAACTTTAGGAAGTTGGTAAATGTTCCTCAAAAGTGGCCATCTTGAATTTTTTTGCCATCAATTCTAAATTAAGCGTATCAAAGACAGTCACTTTTGTATAAAACTTTTTTTTATATCTCTTATATACAATACTTTCGATGATATAAGACATTCAAGGAAAAGGAAAAGTTCTCTATCTTTAATAATAAAAAAGTTACCCACGCAATCTGGGACACACTGTATATGGTATAACCCATATATATGTGTATATGTCGTAGCCACATTGTAAATTTCGCCGTTTTATAAAACGGCTACTTTCAAAGGCGTTATTAATCCTAACTGACCCTTCCCCTGTAACATAAATTTATAAAGTGGCTAGCCGTTTTATAAAACGGCGAAATTTACAATGTGGCTACGACATATATAAGGTATAATACTTACAACCTTACTCGTAGGCATAACCATGGCCATGGCCTGCGGTCTCTGCTATTCCCGTGAAAACGAAATCTCGCACAAGTTGCGCATGTCGTCACGCGGTTGTATTGCAATTGCACTATAATCGTTGAATGAATTCATTCAACGCTATAATATTTATTGTACGCGCGTATACGAATGAATTTGCGCTAATCATTTCGGTATTACATTTCATGACGTGTAAATACAATTAATTACTTCAATACAATACAATGGCTCATTGTGCTGTGTACGGTTGCAAGAACAACAGTAGAAAAACTAAAGACATAAGTTATTATAGATTTCCTAAACGAGATGATATTAAAAGTCAATGGATAAATAGCTGCAGCAGAAGAGACGATAAAATAAATACATCATCAGGTAAGATGCGTTATTGAAGACATAATTATTTCTCTTAACCTTGAATATGCATTTCTTTAGCTAGAATATGTTCAATTCATTTTGATCAAGATGATTTTCATATGTCTCTTCGACATAAGCTAATGAATTATTTACCCTCAAACGTTCGCAGATTAAAGGAAAATGCGATACCAACAAAGCATTTATACAAACAAACACGAACTGAAAGTAAGTCTAATTTGGAAAGAAATTTACGGGCAAAAAAAAGAGAACAAAAGCAAGTAGTAAGCGACCTACTACAAGAAATTTCCGGCAACTCTGAAGAAGTTCCGCAACAAACGGATAATTTGAGCACGGTTTGTGTAAGCTCTGATCGAAACGACAGTGTCGTACTAGATCTGAAAAAGCAAATAGCTCAATTAAAGGAAAGTAATTTGCAACTAATTTTACAAAATACGGAATTGTCGCAAGAAAACAATTTGTTGACAAATAAACTGGAGAAAACGACTAAAAACTTAGAAGAAGCAATGAAGACGCATTGAATTACACCTGGCCAAATAAAATTACTTATGAATAAAACCACACGTGTTTGTTGGTCTGCTGAATATATTTCTGCAGCAATTTCTTTACGAAGCGTTAGTCCAAAGGCTTATAGGTAGGTCCTTTATTAGGTATTTATCAGAATTACTTTTAATAAATTTAATTTTTAGGTAGGTACCTATGACAAAAATTACATTATCCTCTTCCTGCTTTGTCAACGTTACGAAAATGGGCTTCTAAGTTCACAATATCCGAAGGTTTATATTATCAGCGTTAGATAAAATGCAAGAAACGAACTCTCAAAATACAGGCATGAATGATATCGAAAAGCTGCTCATGCTGTGTCTAACATATCTACTATGCCGAACCACAGAATACAATACACATGATCATACAGTGTTGCCACACACGGTGCGACTCGAGTAGCGGAGGCATGTTTAGAGGAAAAGTTGTACAATGTAAACTCCAACAATCAGAAGTACTAAGATTAATGAAGTTTATTAGCAAGCATGGCGGCGAATGAAGTGCATAGTTCTGACAGCGGTCCGAAAAAGTGTCGTATTTGTCGTAACAACGCTGTTACAAAAAAAGTTACATGCAAAATATGCGAGAATATTTTCCACGATAGTTGCGCCAAAAAAGCAGAAGTCGTTTGGTTAGATAATGGCGAAGTTTTGTGTAAAGAGTGCGTGAACGAAGATAACAAAGTGACTGAATCTAGTAAGTCCTGCAATGACACTACTACAATAAAACTGTTATATCAGCTTATAATTGCAAAGGACATCATCATCAAGTCGAAAGACGAATTAATTGCGTCATTGAATCAACAAATCGGCCTGCTGCAAATTCAAAATGTGTCCTCAAACAAAATTATCACGGAAGGTCACGGTCTAACCTCTACACGGAAAAGTGATAAACGTAAAACGGACACGCCGTTAACTGAACCTAAACGTTTGGATAAAACGGAAAACGACCCTGTGTCAGGCCAACCAACAACTAATCAACAAAGCTATGCAAAGGTGCTATCTGATGCTAGAGATCATTTTTCGGTTAGATATGCGGACGTGCGAACATGTTGTAATACGCTCTTCCGAAATCATTAAATATTCTAATTTGGAACAAGTATAAGTATCTGTTGATCATTAAAATGTTTTCAAAGCCGGTTGTAAATCGTGGTATTGTGTGTGGCTGTTGTGATTACAAAATTGGAAGATACGACGAGTCGATTGAATGTGCAAAATGTGCGAAGACTTATCATATCAATTGTGTCGACTTAAGTATTGAAAGAGTACATGAATTAGTAAGTTCTAACGAGATTAAAATTTGGGAATGCCATTTCTGCATCGATGGATCCTCTCCACCTTCTACGTGTGCCCCGGAGACTGCTGTTCAACAGGTGACGCTCGATCATATTTACGCACTTATGATTACAATTAAAGACAACCAGGATTCCTTTTCTAAATCACTAGATGCCTGCCACGACAAAATTGATGATAACTCAAAAATGTTACAACTGCAGGATAAAAAGATTCAAGACTGCTTAAATAAAATTGAAGCGCTAGAAGCCAATAACAAAAATCTGTTGAAGGAGAATAATGAGTTAAAGTTGAGGGTCAACGACTTGGAACAATATTCTCGTCAAAATTGCATCGAAATAGCTGGTGTTCCAGAACTGAAGGAAGAAAACGTGCTTAATACGGTAACTGCAGTTGGCCACGCCATAGGTTTTACGCTGGATAAAACTAGGGTGGATGCATGTCATCGGCTGAGGAAAAACGGAAACAAACCCAATGAACCGCGAGGCATTATTATAAAATTCGTTAGTAGGCTGGATAAAGAGGACATGATGGCCCATAAGCGAGTTAAACGTAATATGTGTGTGCGCGACTTAGGTGAGTTATATTCTAGACTTCCCAATGTAAATCCAGACTCTAGTATATTTATCAATGACTCACTAACGCGATATACCTAATCGTATTTTATTTGCTCAAGCTAGAGCTCACGCTAAAGAGCACAAGATTAAATTCGTATGGACCCGAAACGGTCAAATAGCTATGCGCAAGCAAGATAACTCCAAAGTGTTTATTATAAAATCTACAAATGACTTTCAAGATGTTCATTGACACTACCGTTTCCATGTCTGTTTCCTATTTAGTGCTCACAAATTTTGAGTTGTATAGAATTATATTCTTATTTATGTTTATTTTCATTTGGATAGCTTGTATTTCTTTTAGGCCATGTATTTGACCTGGCAGAATATTGATTATTTATCATCTTTCTTTTTTGTTTGAAATGAATGGTAAAAAACATTTAAACATTTATTACCAAAATGTCAGGGGATTAAAATCGAAATTAACTCAAATTTATATGAATGTACTGTCAAATTCTTATGACATAATAATCTTAACAGAAACTTGGTTAAATAATAGTATCCTCTCCAATGAACTATTCGATGATAGGTACTTAGTATTTCGTAAAGATCGTGATAAAGTCACTACCCATCTTAAAGATGGCGGAGGTGTCCTAATAGCAATTGATAAAAGATGGCACGCTGAAGCAATTAATTTTGAATTTGTGGAAGCATTGTTAATCAAAGTGGGGAGCAGTCCAAAGTATCGAATGCATATCTGTGTTGTTTACTTTCGGCCTAACACAAAAATTAATGCGTACAACGACTTCTACAACCTTTTTGATACTTTGCCTGATTGTATCAAAAACAACCTGTTAGTTATAGGAGATTTCAATCTTAAAATATGTGGATCTGGATATAAGTTATTAACTGGGGATAACTTATGCATACAATTACACAATTTTATAAATTTAAATAATTTACAAAGCAGAAATAACATTCTAAACAGCTATGGTAAAACCTTAGACTTAGTTCTTACAAATATTGCTGAATTATCCGTCAGCTGCGCTCATCCATCTGATTTATTAGTAGGTTTAGATCATTACCATCCTGCTCTTTTGTTGTATGGTGATCTGATTATTCCACTCAACAGAACACAACTGTTGCCTGACCGTATGTACAATTTTGCCAAAGCAGACTTCTTAAGCATTTATTATGCATTAAGATATACTGACTGGTCTAATTTAAGTGTCGCTGTTGATGTCAACGATTCGGTTAATGTTTTCTATGACCTTCTGTACAAAATATTGGACAAATTCTGCCCCAAGAAAAGAGTTAGGAGTGGTTCATCCTATCCAGTCTGGTTTTCGACAAATATAGTGGCATCTATTAGGCTTAAACATAAGCTGCATAAAAAATACAAAAGACTACGTTCACTAAATGATCCATGTGCATCGGATAGTTATGTGCAGTTCTGTAATTTACGTTCATCAGTAAAAAAGGATATATCCTCAGCATACAGGCAATATCTTATTGGCATTGAAAATGAAATTGGGCGTGACCCTAATCGCTTTTGGTCCTACGTGAAGCACTGCAGGAGGCAAACTTCCCAGGTGTATGAAGTTGAGTTTAATGGTGTTGTTGCGTCAACGGGTTCTGAAATATCAAATAATTTTGCTAACTTTTTTGAGTCTGTTTACCTGCCATCTCCATCAAACAAGGATTATTATGACAGCCTTCATAATAACAGTAACCTAGTACACACTGATGTGATTACGTTGAAGGAAGTTGACCAGGGCACAGTCCTAAAAGCTATGAAAGAATTGAAATCTAAAAAATCAATGGGTCCTGATCTCATTCCACAGTATTTTTTCAAAGGACACTCAGAACTGTTGAGTAAACCACTGTGTATCATAATTAACAAATGCCTTAAGTCCAATTCCTTTCCTGATGTATCGAAGACCACCAAGGTAACGCCTATATTTAAGAAAGGGAATAGAAATTCCGCGTGTAATTATAGGCCGATTTCTATACTTTCAACACCTGCGAAAATTTTTGAAATTGTCTTGAGAAAAGAGGTTTTCTCACATGCGTTGCGACATATCTCCGATAGCCAACATGGATTCATCTCGGGTAGATCTACTGTCACCAACTTGGTCAACTTCACGCAATTTGTTTCCAGCAGTATGAACCAAGGTATTAGCGTTGACACCATCTTCACGGATCTGGCGAAGGCCTTTGATAGATGTGACCATTCTATCATTATATCTAAGTTAAAATATTATGGCTTATCTTTGGATTTGCTACACCTCTTCAAATCCTATTTTACAAATCGGAGTCAATACGTGTGGTTCCAGGGATTTACATCTAGGCAGTATATCGCCACGTCGGGAGTCCCACAGGGCTCTGTGTTGGGTCCCGTTATCTTCAATCTATTAATAAATGATGTCGTTAACGTGGTAAAGAATTCCAATATTCTGTTATATGCAGATGATTTAAAGTTATTTAAAGCCATTGCTGACGTAAATGATTGTCGAGAGCTACAAAATGATTTAGATGCTGTAAATGTTTGGTTGGAGCATAATAAATTGTCTTTCAACGTTTCCAAATGCTCAGTTCTTACCTTCACAAAAAAGATAGCTCCTATAACGTATGAATATTCCATGAACGGGGAAGAGCTACGACGCATTTTGGAAATAAAGGACTTAGGTGTAATACTGGACCACAGGTTAACTTTCTCTGCACACGTAGAAAACAGTGTAGGCAAAGCATACCGAAACTTAGGATTTATCTTAAGGCAAGCTGCCAACTTTTCTAAAGAACACACTTTAAAGTCTTTATTTTCTGCCATTGTTAGACCACACTTGGATTATGCATGTATTGTCTGGAAGCCTCATTCCTTCACCCATAGGAACAGCCTAGAAAAGGTACAAAAGAAGTTTCTAAGGTATCTCAACTATAAACGTAGCGGACAATACTCATATCTCATACCTTACGCTGAACTGCTGTCATCCTTTAATATGGAATGTGTTAAAAAGAGGCATGAACTTTCCCAATTGAATTATTTGCACAAGTTACTCCATGGGAATATTGCTAACCCCGAAAATCTGGCGCAAATTAATTTTCATGTTTCACCTTTTCTTCGTCGTACCCATACACTGTTTTATATACCTTACTTACGCACAAACTTACTTATTTTTTCGCCATTGATAGATATGCAGCGACTATACAATCAAATCTGTACCTTGTCTGGCAAGGTTGACATTTTTCGTTATAATCTCTCAACGTTTATATCACATTGTAAGTCACTTCTTTAAACATAAAACTTCATTGCGTCTTACCATGCCCATACCTCCATGCACTTCTTCGTCATTTATGCTATTCATACACACACATTCACAAACTTGTACTAAATTTTTACAATTATTTTTGTTTATTTAATATTAAATTGAGTTAGAATATTTATTCTCTGTTTTTCATATACTTGTTCTGTTTACTTATATTCACTTCATGTTTGTTCGTCTTAATGTTATTGTTTAAACTGCTTTACTGTAATTGGGTACATGTAACCTGTTGTAAAGCATGTAAATAAATAAATAAATAAATAGAGATCAACGTCCCTCCACCTCAAAAAATTCAGGCAAGGGGTCCAAAACCATCAACTATAAACAGGCAAGGGAAGCAAAATCCGACAACAAGGATACTCAAGACGCCAAAATGAGTTGAGTAACAAGGAGGATGATTGGAGGTCTGTCACCCCAAAAAAGCGTAGCTACAAAAACAATAAAGTTATCATCACTGGAGAGGCGCATGTAAATGAACTTCAGACCGCCCCTAGGAAGTCATACCTCTTCGTCTCAAGGATGCACCCTAACACGACTCCTCAGCAAGTGGTGAATCATCTAAAGCCTAACTTTTCAGAAGTAGAATGTGAGGAAATTACTACCGCATCGTCTGAGTACTACAAATCATTTAAAGTAACAGTCTACTTAAAAAACAATGCATCGGCACTCGATCCAAAGATATGGCCCTACGGAGCAACCGTAACACGGTTTTTTCACAGGAGAAGGACACAAACAGAAGTATCTTAGTATCACCTGTGTTGCATGTAAACAGATTTAAAATTTTTCATTTAAACATCCGTTCCTTGTTTAATAAAATTTCGTATGTTGAGTTACTATGTGACATTTATGATTATTCTGTTCTTTGTTTTAGCGAACCATGGCTAAATGAAGATCAAGCAAGTTGTGTAAGAATAAACGACTACACTTTACTATCAAGCTACTATAGGGAACTCAAAAAAGGTGGAGGTAGTGCCATCTTTGTTAAAAATAGCATATTGAACGTAAGTAAAGCGCTCAATTTTGTTAGTAAACTCTCGATTGAAGATATTTTTGAATGCAGTGGAATTTCTATTAACAATAACGCGTGTGTCATAGCTATGTATCGCCCGTGCAATAGAGATGTCAGTAAAATTAGAACATTCTTTAATCAATTTGATATATTGTTAACTAAATTGCAGAAAAGGTTTAGTTATATTTATATTTGCGGGGATTTGAACATAAACCAGTTGTATAAGGATAATACATTGGAAGCACTTACTGATCTACTTAATACACATAAGTTAAAATCTGTCATTAAGGAAATCACAAGAATTCAACAACTACCTCAAGTTTCTCATGTCAGCCAGTCCGCAATAGACTACATTATTACCAATAGTGATGAAACCATCGAAGATCGTTCTAATTTCAATGTAGGATTTTCTGATCATTTTGCACAATGCATCACAATAAATCTTACAACGCATGGTCTTCAAAATAAAGCTAGTAGTAGTGATAGAATTATAAGACGTGAGTTCTCCAATGCAAATATTAATGAATTTTTATACCTACTTGGCATTTACAACATAAATTATTACGAAACAATTATCGATGCGAACAAGCGATTTAATACCTTTTACGACCATTTTACATGGTGCTTTGATATTGCATTTCCTAAAAAATGTACAACTAAAAACAGAGTGCCTCCCAAAAATAAAATAAAATTTTCCTTAGAACTACAACAAAAATACAATAAATATAAAAATCTTATGGCAATTAACGATTGTATTAACGATGACAGACTCAAAAAACAGTTAAAAATGGAACGTAAGTCATTGCTTAAGGAAATAAATCTGGAAAAGGGCAACTACGTTGCAAACCTTATTAATAAATCAGAAAATAAATCCAAAGCCTTGTGGAATTTGATTAAACCGCCATCGTCGAGCAAGCATATCCCTAATATATCCCTAACTGCCAACCACTTTGCCCAATACTTTGAGCACTCAATCACCCCCAAGCAATGTTCGGCAACAACAAGTAAGAAACCTAGGGGTTCTCATTATAATAATACGTTTTTCTTCTATCCCAGCACCTCCAGCGAAGTTTACAATATCATACACTCATTAAAGAATAAGAAATCTACGGGTATTGATGAAATCCCAAATGAGTTGTTGAAGGCTTGTTCAAATGTCATTTCTCCCGTATTATCTGGAATAATTAACCATTGCGTAACCCAGGGTTGTTTTCCCGACAAGTTAAAAACATCTTGTGTTATACCTATTCATAAAAAGGGTTCAATACAAGATGCCTCAAACTACAGGGCAATTTCTCTGCTGAGTGCGTTCTCAAAAGTTTTTGAAAAATGTCTCTGCTCAAGGATATCATCCTTTCTCGAGAAACACAACATTTTATCCAACAGACAATTTGGTTTTCGCTCCGGAAAATCCACGGAAATGGCAAGCGCACAACTAATGCAACATATACACAATGAATTAGATCTCAACAAAGAATGTTTTGTCATATACTTTGATATAAGGAAAGCATTTGACAGTATAAATCTGGGATTGTTATCTAATAAATTAAAGTATCTGGGTTTTAGATACCCTGTAGATGATTTTTTACTTTCATTCTTGTCTGCCCGCAAATTTATCGTTAAATTTAACAACACATACTCAAACAAATACATGGTAAATATTGGAACTCCCCAAGGTAGCAATTTGGGCCCAATAATTTTCCTTTTATTTATAAATGACCTACCTAAGTACATCACCAGCGGCAGCACATTTATGTATGCCGATGACACGGCGGTTGTTGTTAGTGCTCATGAGTATGAGGCTGCACTGCAAAAGTTAAATTGCGTGGTAAGAGAATTTGTACAATGGTGCCAAAATAATCAATTACGCATTAATTCTGATAAAACGGTAATTATGAATATGAAAATTTCGGCATTAAAGTCCAATCACTTCACTTTAAGCATCGAAAATAACGTAATAGTATGTTCTACATTGGCTACTTACTTGGGACTGAAGGTAGATGAAAACTTAAATTGGAATGAACATATAGATCGTACCTGTTCAAAACTAAATAAGACATACTATTTAATAGCACAATTAAAAGATCGTCTTCAAGTTCCGCAATTAATATCTATTTACTATGCTCTGGTATTTACCCATTTAAACTACAATATTATCTGCTGGGGTGCAAGCTCGAAAGCACATCGATTGTTTGTTTATCAAAAACGTGTAATTAGACTGATATTTAGTATTAAGTCGACAAACTCTTGTAAAGAGACATTTATAAAAAATAAAATAATGCCGCTTCCATGTGTATACATTTACAAGGTTTTATGTTTTGTCCACCAAAATAAAAATAATCTGACAAAATGTGGCGACTTGCACAGCTATAACACCAGAGGAAAACATAAAATTTCAACTTTCAAGCACTCCCACACTTTTTATGAAAAATCCCCTTATTATATGGGATGCAAGTTATATAACTTGCTTCCCAAAGATATATGTAGATATGAAATAAAACCATTCAAAAAAATAATTAAAGATATTTTACATCACAACTCATACTATTCGATTACGGAATTCATTCACAAGAACTTACCTTGATCTTCTAGCTAGCCATTATTTGACAATATAATATCAAACATACTTCACGTACCTATGTAGACTGTGATAATATCCAACTCACATGTTATTGCTATTTATGTTGTTTGTTATTGTTACTGACGTGTCCTATACATTTTTATATGTCTACAGGAAATAAAGATTATTATTATTATTATTATTATTATTTATTTATCTGATGAAATTTGTTTTGTTAAACAATAAGAACAGCGAATAATTGGTCCTTGTAAATCGGCACAAGTTGTAATGGCGCGAGGACTTTTTTCAGATTGGAAGCAATCAATTTACTTTAAATTTGATCAAGCTATGACAAAAGCTATTTTGTTTGAAATAATTAGGAAAGTGGAACCATATTATACTGTGGTTGCGATTGTCTGCGATATGGGAGCTAGTAATCAAGGATTGTGGAAATCTTTTGATATCGATTGAAATAACAATAATTTTTTTCCTAATTCGTCTGATAATGAGAAAGAAATTTACCAGTTTGCAGATATCCTTGATCACGGCTTTACAATTGACAACTCTAATAGCGTTTTCGACTTACTACATTAGTGCGCACTACGTCTGCATTATTTTTAATTGGAGTGTTCGACTTACCACAGTGCAACTTTCTTACCTGTTCGACTTAAGATGTAAAATTGCATTCGTTGCTAGCTATTATAGTCGAACAGGTAAGAAAGTTGCACTGTGGTAAGTCGAAAATAATGCAGACGTAGTGCGCACTAATGCAGTAAGTCGAAAACGCTATAAGATAAACTCTCAGGGGTACGTTCGAAAATTGCAACGTTGTAGTTGAGTTAAACTTACTGAGTTTTATCAGCTGATTGTGTGGTTTATTTCACCTTACATTTTCGAACGTTTTGTTTTGAGTTCATTTGTTATGGTGAATGAAAATCAAAATATTTCTTTGTTTGTTGATTGTGCATTTAGGTTATTATTACATCAATTTCCAACGGGGATTATTAGTCTGTGGAAAGCGATTCATTTGAAGATGATGAATTATTATTATTGTATGTATTTAATATGAATAATACTCATTTTTAAAACAGTTAATTCAAAACTTGATGAAATCTGTGCACTAAATAAACAACATAACCTCTAAAAAATCCAACATTTGTCAGTAAACCACAATAGGGTAAATGTAACCTACCTGTTATAGATGGGTTACAACAACTCTACTCGGGTATACAACTAGGGTTGCCATCCGTCCGGATTTGTCCTAATTTAGGGAGCGTTCGGGCGGGTTTTCAATGGTAGTCCGGGTTTTGAGGTACTGAGTCAGTGAATTAAAAATCTTTCTGTCAAAATTTAAGCCAACAAGATAAACTTTCAAGCGCAAAACAGCTTTGATAACAATTATTTAAAACACTGAATGCTCATTTAAGGCACAATGGGCCTCTGGTGTGCCTAAGTGCTGCCCGGTCGGGCTCCCCTGCGAATAGAATAATAATAATATAATAATATAGCTTTATTGGGTGATGCAGCAGTTGACAAATACGATTAGGTAGTACATATTTTTACAGTTTAAAGATACAGATGCACGTATATGCAATAGACTGCAACCCCAAAGGCGAAGTTCGGTTGAAGAGCAATACTGAGGGACTGCTCTTCTCCGCTCTACCACTTAACCTCAAAATTGCTGCGAAAGAACCCATAACTGACAGAATGTAAATATAATCCGACCAGTGTTACCCTATAGACAGTGATGCCTACTGTGATTGCCATATTTGCTTTGTGCACGTTAATCGTCTAACATTAAAGATGTCATACGATATTTAAATAATTTTAAGGGCAAGCGTTTCTTTAAGGGCAAGCGTTTCAATATAGAATATAGAATAGAATAGAATGCTCATTTATAAGTACTCGGAGTTATTGAAAACTGCGTACTACTTTTTTGCATTCCTGCTCATAATGACAACGCTGAAAGAATATTTTCACTAGTGGCACAACAGTGGTCAAAATAAAGAAATTTATTGAATATTGAAACAGTCTCGTCAGTGATAAAAATAAAGTACAATTTCAAAGATTATAATTGTGTAGATTTTTATAAATTTCTTTTCAGTAAGGAAGATTCTAAAGGCTATTGGAAAGACGGGTAAATAGCGAAGACCTGAAAAGTAAATAGTTCCCTAAACATTTTATTTTACTAAAAGACCAAATTTTTGTTTCATTTAAAAATTATTGTTATTAGCTTCTTATAACTTGTGTTTTATTTTGCTAAAAAAGTATATTATTGCTTCATTTAAGGAATTAAAAAATGTAGATAAGCCGTTGCTGATTCCTAACAGTTAAAGAAGATTTTGTTTCGTGATAGAGTACGCCTTGTTTTATATAGAAAAATTAATTGTTTGTTTTATTTCTTTAGAAAATATTTTTTATCAAATTCAGTTGATATGTCCGGGTTTATAATCCCTAAATCCGGGGTTCTCCACGCTTCCTGTCCTAGTTGGTAGAGTTTTGAGATGGCAACCCTATATACAACTCACTATTTTCGAACCGTCGCAGTTGTAGAGTACAGTTATAAACCTCAGATTTTCGAACGGTTTGGGGCAAAGGTTTAACTAGAACTCTGTATTTTCGAACGTACTCCAGTGTATACAATATATGATAAAAAATTCTGACACTGACTTAAAAGTGGGCTATAAAATATCTCAATACCATCTTGATGTCAAGCAAGCTCAACGCTAAAATGTAAAAGTTGCGGCTCAACTGTGGAAACCATAAGCACATGTTACCTTTTCAGCTGGGTGTAATCGTATCTAACAGATCCTTAATGGATTTGTATAACGACCTAAAAAATAGGTGCGATACGGAGTATGTTTGGACAAGTAGACTTAACCAAGATTTGTTGGAAAACTTTTTTTCATATGTTCATGCTATGGGAGGATCACATGAAAATCCTTCGCCTGTAGACTTCAAATATAGATTAAAATTATATATATTAGGAAAACATTCCGATGCCGTTTTTGTTGATAAAAAAAATACCTTCGAAATGAAAAGAAATGAATACTTGTTTAACGGGCCAACTATTGCAAGGTGTTGGTGAAATACTACTTCAAAATGAAGTTTATGATGAGGACATTAATTTTGTTCAAGAAACAACGAAAATTCATAATGAAGGTTTACTTTATATAGCTGGTTACGTTGCACACAAATTAAGAACGAAATACCCATTCTTAGGCGAAAAGGCCGAATTTGAAAAAGGCGGTAATTGGATAAATTTTATATCTGAAGGGAACTTGACTTTTTCGCTGTTGCCGCAGAGAAAATGGAGTATTACTTTAATCACGTGCACGGCGAGAACGCCACGATTCTAAAATTATTGAAAAAGTAATAAACTTAATGCATCAAAACTGTGATACGACATTAATACCTAACGACGCTGTCGAATACTTAGTTAAAGTAAGAACGTATATCCGAATTCGGGAACTAAATAAGACAATGAGAAGCTGCGGAACTTGTGCAGAAAAGACAAAAATATGTGAAAAAACTGAAGAAAATGGTTTAGTAGGTAATTAAAAAGATCTCTTAAGGTGTAAACAGAGTTTTATCCTTCATGGTACTCCAATGAAATGTCTCAACGAAAGGAATTAATTTCTACCAACCATAGCCCTCCTCCTCGACCTCTCATCGCGATCGGGTATATTCCCTTATACATTGAGGCGATTGTCGGAAGAGGCCAGAGGGTACTCACAAAGGGCGATTGGGACGTCTGCAGGAAATATATCCATTGGTGATATAAAAAAAAAGCTATTTGGGTTAAAAAAAATGCGTTTTATCCGCACAAGAGTTGTGCACAATTTATACTTGTTTAGATATATTGCCGTTTATGTATCTCATCTATTACAAAATAAATATTTTTTGCTTAATTTTGTATGGAAATTGGTTTTCGAAGGTCTCTAAATGGTCTCTATTTTTCAATATGTAATTAGAGACCAAGTCTCTATTTTTTTGCTAAAATCAGTTGCGAACCCTGCTGTGGGTATAACCACAGCTGATTCCCGTTTATTTGCTTTATACGTCATTTATTGGGCTTACATTTAATTAATCGTGATAATTGTGCGTAGTTGTTATGTTGGGAAAGAGAATAGTTCAATAGTCCGATCCCGCGCGAATTATACCGTAGCATGCGCATAACGATTTGGTACAAACATACGTCTATCTCTTTTTTTTGGAATATACATTTTATGTGAATGCGCTATATCCAGTAGCTTTGATTATATACTACTGGATAGCGCATTCTTAATGATAGAAGAGTACAACCCGTGTTCCAATCGTGCAACCCAGATAGCTATAATTTTTCAGTGAAAAGAAACGAGATAAAAGAAGAAGTTTGTGTTTGAACCAATTCGAATTGCGCATGCCAGGCGTTAAAAAACCGGAAACTAATGGCTGATTCTTTACTTTGTTTCTTTATTTGCTTTAAACGTTATTTGGGCTCTACCTTTAATTAATCGTGGTAATTCTGCGTAGTTTTTATGTTTGTAAAGAGAATAGTTCATAATATGCAATTAACGTGAAGATAAATGTTTACTCCGAAAATAGATGTATTCAACAGTCCGACTATTCCCGCGCGAAGTTTATACCGTAAGCATGCGCATAATGATTTGGTACAAACATAAGTCTATCTCTTTTTTTGGAACATACATTTTAAGTGAATGCGCTATCCAGTAGTATATAATCAAAGTCCAGTAGTATATAATCAAAGGTACAAACATAATCCGTCTATTTCTTTTTTTGGAACATACATTTAAATTTTAAGCGAATGCGCTATCACGTAGTATTAATTAAGATTTTCCACACACTAAATTTTGATAAGGTCTAATGTTTTTTTGTAGAGATTTTCTATGTTCTTACCAAATCAGAGTATTTATATGGAAAAGCCTATTTCAATACATCGTTATTAAAAGTTTTAAGAAAATATTGTTAACGTTTTTGAAGATTACTGTTGACTCTGATTGTACAAATTTGTAAAGGTGGGTTCATAGCTCTCCGTTCATCCGTTGCGTTGATCCGCAAACGGATAGTGCAATTTGTTAAGGTTCATTAATAGCAATCCGTCCATATTGTACGTTTACAAGGTATAACCATAACCTAAATTTTACTTTGTACTGTATCTACCGCGATCTTCAGTACGTAGAAACTACTATCAGATTATCACCGCGAAGCACGTAATATCCGAACACTGTTAAATTTGCTCTTAAACGTCAACAATATGACAAACATAACCTTACTCTTGTTAAAAAACGGACCAACGGAAACGTAAATGTTCAACTTCAACCAACTTTTCCGTTGTAAATGGACGACGTACGGTTTAAAAATTTACTGTGTTCTGATTGGCTAACGGACAAACGGAAACGTATAAACGGAGAGCTATGAACCCACCTTAAGCCTTAAGAGCTGTGTAAAAATACCTTTATGAAATATGAATGTCATAACTGGTCACAACCAAATTTTTGTAATCCACCAAAACATAACCTCGTATACCTAATGTTGAAGCATGTCTTCATGTCTCTAGTACAATAAATAACATTTTTAAAATATTTCAATTATTACTGTCAGTTTCTGAGTTTATTGCACATTGCTCTACAATAATGCTTGACTTGCCGGGATTTGAAGACCCTAACAACCAGTCCGATCTCACTGAAGATGTTAAATTTAAGAAGAAGATGGGTAAAGGTGGCGGTTTCCAGTCGATGGGTTTGTCATTTAATGTATTGAAAGGCATTACTAAAAGAGGGTATAAAATACCCACTCCTATACAACGTAAAGTAAATATTTTGTATGAGTATGTGCGATGTTCGTAACACTATTTCTTGTAGACAATACCTTTAGCTTTGGAGGGAAAAAATATTGTCGCTATGGCACGAACTGGTAGCGGTAAAACTGCATGTTTTTTAATACCACTCTTTGAGAAACTCAAAATAAGAATGGCAAAAACCGGAGCTCGCGCATTGATATTGTCACCAACAAGGGAGCTTGCAGTTCAAGTTAGAACATCAACATGTTTATTTGCAAAAGTTACATTAATTTAATTGTAGACGTTAAAGTTTGTCAAGGAGCTGGGTCGATTTACAGATTTAAAAGCTGCACTCATATCTGGAGGTGATTCGATGGATAGCCAATTTTCTGTAATCCATGGCAATCCCGATATTCTAATAGCGACTCCGGGACGTTTCTTGCACATTTGCATTGAAATGGACTTGAAACTAAATAACATCGAGTATGTGGTATTTGACGAAGCCGATAGGTTATTCGAAATGGGTTTCGGAACTCAAATGAACAGCCTGTTGGAGAAATTGCCTGATACTAGGCAAACACTTTTGTTTTCTGCGACACTTCCAAAGGTGCTGGTAGAATTTGCTAAGGCTGGTATTGGAGATCCTGTATTGATTAGGTATAGTTTATATCTAAAAACGATTTCAGTAAGACAGATTTTTATAGATTGGATGTTGAATCAAAGTTACCTGCTGAATTAGATCTTGTATTTTTAACTGTGCGATCGGAGGAACGTACAGCTGCACTGCTGGTTCTTCTGAAGTTACATATTGATTCTAAACAACAAACTGTCGTTTTTGCCGCTACTAAATATCACGTAGATTATTTGCATATGGTAAGATGATTTAGTCTAGGGTAGTTTTAATATTAGATCGATGTGCTCAATACAATGCTGACTGAAGGCAAATACATATGAGTACATTGCGACTCTTTCTATGTTGAAATTTTTCAAAATATGTCGTCTGTCTCTAGTTCTTGCACATTTTTTTAAAACTGTTTTTAAATAGTCACAAAGGGTAAAATTTAGTTTTATAATTGTTTTGAAAACAAAGCCAGGTAAACTAAATCAGAAGTGGATTATCTTACGGTCATAACTTTTAAAAAAGTAGTAAATTTTAGCATTTTGTTTCAGGTACTTGATAGTGTGGGCATTAGCAACACTTATATTTATTCAAGCTTAGATTCTTCCGCAAGGAAAATCAATACAGCAAAGTTTTCCCAACACAAGGTAGCCGTTTTGATTGTTACTGATGTTGCTGCTAGAGGATTAGACATACCACGTCTTGACAATGTCATTAATTATAATTTCCCGGATAGATCCAAATTGTTTGTTCACAGAGTGGGTAAGTATGAGTCACTTTTTAAATAATCTAGTGAGGGGTAATATTGTCTCAGATTTATTGTAAGATTTAACACGTTTCAACAGATATGGTGTTTCGTAGTGTTGCAATTTTTAAGTCGAAAAAATTTTGATTTGACCCAATAAAGCGCTACTATATTGATAGTCTCTTTTTTAGCCAATCTCATGGTATCGGTTGGTAAAAATGCTATGCATTTTAAGACTGCTTGAGTAAGTGTGTTTGGCAGAGCTACTGCCAAAAAGGGGGTATTTTACGTTTGTGCCTTCAGTTTTGGGGTGTAATCTATATTGGGCGTAATACGATTTTTTTTGCTTACCTACCACAAAAATTTGGATGTAATTGCTCCATAAATAAGAGAGATGCGTTTTGCGCATGCGCAGTATAATTTTTTGCGTATGTATCTTGTTTGCTTTTATTAGAGAGACCCACTATACAAATTTGGATGAAATGGTTCCATAAATAAAAAAAGTTGAAAGAATAAACTGCAAAATATGAAGTGTCATTTAATGGTATATTGGGGGTGGGGGAGGAGGTGTTGTTTGTGGAGTCGAAGGGTACGAATACGAGACCAATGTAAAAAAAACCGCATCGTTCTAGCCCTCTGCGTTTCCGAATATACGCCAAAATATTAGAATGTAATTATTGGCAAGCGGTGAAGGGGAGCTGGTGTTGATTGTGGAGTCAGAGGATATGAATACGAGACTAATGTAAAAAAATCGCATCGTTCTAGCCCTTTGCGTTTTCGAATAAACGCCAAAATATGAGTGTCATTTATTGGCAGGTGGGGAAGGGGAAGCGGGGGAGTGTTGGTCGTCGAATCATAGGGTACCAATACGAGACCCACGTAAAAAAGCAGAATCGTTTTAACGCTCCGACAAAAACGTATCGTTTTGTAGGGCAGGGGAGGTAGTGGAGGGGTCGCGGGTGCGAAAATGGAGCGACTACTTCAAAACTTATCAGCCCCAATGATGCGACTCGGCGGCGTTAAATATTTCTTACAGGCGATTATTCGATTCGTATTTGGTCCATTTTACCACCACGTGGTGGAGGGAGTGGTCGTCGCGACTTAGGTGATCGGCTAGTCCAGTCGCGGCCGCGATTCGATTTTAACCGTCCGCCCTCTTTGAATTTATTTAAGGAAGCGTATCCCTCAGAAATGGCAGGGGGGGGGGGGGAAAACGATTTATCTGGAGGCGGCGCTTGAGGGGCATGTAAAATCTGGTGAAATCAGTGTGGCTCGAAAAAAGTTAGTAACTGAAACAATCTGAACTGCTGTGTATCTTCTTGTATACAGGGTGAGTACATACAAAGTCGCTTATTGGTAAACAATTGCAGAATTTTATGTAGATTAATTTTCCTCTTCAAAGTTTCGTTTAGTTTACAAATAGCTAAGTTATGGCTAAACAAGATACGAAGAATCGTATACGATTTTCAGTAGGGGAATTTTTTGCCACCTAGCTCGCATTCGGAAACCAGACTTTTAATCCGGCTCATATTCAATAGCACTGAGCAATGAACTCGTAGAAAGCAATTGGCGCAGGTTTGACATCGCTCTCTTTTCGTTCTCGAGTTAGACGAGGAACAGACAGACGAACAGACTGACATAATCACATAACACATAAGGGAAACTGAAAGTGTCATTTAGGAGAATATGCCGAAGTTCACTTGCATATTTTTAAAGATATCAAAAAGTAATTTTAACAAACCCTTGGTAATTTTTTCTCAGCTTTCTAATGGGGCTGAAATAAAATTTTTATGGCTTGTGGGTTTCAAGTAAATTACATCAACTTTCTCATTGACGCCATATTGGATTTTTATTTCGTTCGTTTCGTTCGATATAGAAAAAAATTACTAAACCAGCGATACTATACACTTAGTATTTCATTTGGCAATTAATTTTGAATCTTTGCCTTGAAGTTTACAATGTATTTCTTATGGAAATAATTCCATGGCCGTGTTCATGGTGACTGACTCTCTGACGGAGTTTCTAGTCGCAAAAGTTTTTAAGTCGACATTAAGGTTTGGGGGATTAATAAAATCGCAAGCAAGTATCACGTTAACTTTCAACATTGACCTCATAGGCATGATGTAAAAATATTATAGGATCCTGTCGCTTAAATTCGAGCTTAAATTGACAATAATTCAAGTAAGAATTCTACCTTGAAAAGAGGCATTTAGGAGATACCATAGGATATTAGGGAAATGAGAGGTAGTAGCACCATCGGTGGCGGTAGCATTAACTCCACAACCCTCTTTTTTGGAAACACTTTGTAATTTATGGTGTAACAGAGCCAAATAGAATTTAAGTATCCCTAAATTAGCTTCAAGCCTAATAGGGTTTTCATTGGGACTATCTAAATAATTGCGTTTTCTACTATAAGTACTTATATTAAGGCTCCTCTGTAGTCAATTTGTATTTCAATGTTATTGCAATGGGTTAGACCACCAACAATTCACATCTCTAGACGATGTACCTAGTCCTTGAGTGAGACCAACGATGTTTCTCTATCCTTTCCAGTTTTACATATTCTCTTCATTTATTGTTAAACACAATAGACCATGTATAATGGTCAAGGACTAATGTTATGTAAACAAGTTTAGCGAAAAGCTGTACAATATTTGAACGGAGATGCACAAATGCCTATCTCTTTTACTATTGAGTAAATTACTTATTCAGTGCATTTACTGCATTTTTCTATAATGACACCTTCTGTAAATTACCTGGTTCTTAGGTCATTAGTGGACTAGATTAGCATTGTTTGTTAACATTTTTAATTACCCCTTTATTTCCTGTGAGTTTTTCTAATCAATTTTACTGATTTATAGATTTTTATAGTTATTAGATAGACATGTGCATGAATGAATTCACTTAGGACTTAGGTATGGTAGAACCTAATAAACCGGCACACTTCGAACACCTAAAATAAATCTCTTTATTTTCTTATGCAATAAGGGTGAACAACCTGGTGAACAACAACAAAAAATGTATTTTTAGCGCATTTTTGAAAAAAATACGCTATTATATTCGTTATTGCTGGCAGGCCGGCTGTCCGCGTTAGATCTCCACAACTACAATAGCTAGAGACTTCAAATTTTCACTAAAAGCTTCCTGCTATAGTGTAGATGTGCAGGCACTAGTCTATTTTGAGTTAGATTACTTGTGAGATCGATAATTGAAGAAAATAATTTCGATATGGGTTTCGGAGGTGCTATAATTTTACCGTTAGATAGCGCTACCCGTATAAAAACTTATTATTTACTTTGTGATTTGTTTTACAAAATGAAGACGTACCGTCAATTGAAATGAAATAAAATTAATTATTTAACGCAGCCAAAATTACTCATGAGATCGATAATTTTAAACTTCGCTAATAAAATACTCACCTGCATTACCAAAAATGCGCTTTAATCATGCATATGCTGATTTACAACTTGTTTTTATAAAAATGGTAGCTAACATTTAAAATTCTGTTACAATGATAAAAAGTATAACATATACCGATTTTTAAATAAATTCTTATCTTTTCAAAAAATAATAATTGTACATTTAGCGTTATACTTATATACAGGGTGATTCCTATAGTACCTGCCACCGTTTGGGAGCGTGTAGGTGGTGCGTATTTTGATATAGGACACTTGGGGTCGGAAATCTAAAATAAGGGTGCCAGAGCCAAATTTACCTTCTGCAATTTCGCGCCTGTAGGTAGGCAACGCAACCGGCCGGCGGTGCACACGGAGCGATCTCAGGCGGCGATGTGTGGCTGACACTTGATCAGAATTTTGTTTAAACCCACGAAATCCCGTCTGCAACGACGCGTATCAAGTGAATAAACACTATGGCAATAGTATAATAATAATTGGTAGCTATCCATCTTCTAACGACTCAAAATGGGGTGAAATAGACTATTATAAAAGCACTAAACCTTCCCCATACTTCATTTAATTGTTTCAGATTTGAAACAATTAAATGAAGTATGGGGAAGGTTTAGTGCTTTTATAATTTCCACTTAGTATAATAATAGTTGGCTAGATGTAGGAAGTGCATTGAGAACAACGGTGGCCACGTTGAACACTTGTAAACGTTATTGCTTTTGACTGTCGTTTTCCCTCCTTCCCTCCCATGTCGCTTCCTCGCGCTAACTCGCTCTGCATCGCTCCGCGCGAAACGTCGGTCGGTTGGGTTGCCTACATACAGGCGTGAAATTCCAGAAGATAAATTTGGTTCTGGCGCCCTTATTTTAGATTTCCGACCCCAAGTGTCCTATATCAAAATACTCCCCTAGGCACCCCCTATACGCTTCCAAACGGTGGCAGGTACTATAGGAATCACCCTGTATATTTATGCACAACCCATGTAGAATTTTTCCGAACATCTTATGTGCAGCAAAATGACTTCGCTTTTTTGTCCTAAATTGAGAATTCAGTTGTAAAATTTGTTGATTCCGCGGTTGATCCTCTATTATGTGAGAGGCAAAATCCGAGATGATATCAGTTCATATTCGCTAAGTTGATGTGAAGTTTGCGGGATTCCATCATATTCTCAAACGGAAAAAATAAATAGCTGAAATTTTTTAAAAGTGGGAGAATTTTTTTACCCACCACTAATTACCGGGAAAACCCAAAATTTCACCCATGTTTTGATACAAATATTCATTTTCGTGATGTCTCACTACCTTGACTTGACATGAGCAAAACAATGACACTTTTTTTAAATAAATTTGTCAGTGTCGCCTATTAGTTATCGTATCCCGCTTAGAAATTTAGCTAAAAAGGGGAATTGGAACATTTTTTGTAACAGTTAAAATGAACAAGTGCAATCGAATTTCTTTGAAATGGTAGGCTCAGAATGTGAAAACTATTGGGCGCGTTCCTTTATTTTTTCGATAAGCGGATATTCCTGATATCTGATCATATTGAAAAAATAAGTAGCACTCTCTAAGTCTCGACTCAGTAGTAGTGTTTGCGAATTGTGATACTGTACT